ACAGCTGGTCATTAGTCAGGGGATAAAAAGCCCCGTTTGTCACTAGACACGACTTTTGAATAAAGTTGGACAAAATTTCTTTTTAGTACAAAACGCAGGAGTTTTAGCGCTTCAAATACAAAATCAAGATGCCTTTGAGTTCTTAGTTGAAATGCAGAATTAAATAGCCTGTCATAGGACGTTTAGAAAATTTTATCCTTTATAATTCCTAGAGCAGATTTAACTATTAAGGGATATTTGATCGTCCAAGGAAAGAGCCAGGGCCTAATTTAAGAAATTTTCAATACTGCACATTTTTAAGAAGTTTTCAATACTGCACATTTATAATCATATATTTGTTTATAGGTAATTTTTTGGTGCGATCAGTGCAAACCCCTGCGAACCCAAGGTATCTTAGCCATGCAAGTGTAGCGAGGAAGTTGCCCGAATTTTGAACACGTGTATAGGCCATGTCGGAGAAATCACAAACAGATACACGATAATATTCACAATCAATAATAACATTTCAAAACAGCAACAAAACAAACAGAAGCTACAAAACCTGAACAGAAACATAGTCATTTATCTCTTGTAAACGGAGTCACTATCTCATGTTTTGTCTGGACAGTAAAAAAGGTTTTATTAGGCTCTTAAACTTTCTTTTAGTTAAGTTAAGTGAGCTTCGGCTAGATGCCCAGAGCATCATAGGGCAACTGATAAATTATTACTGAATGTTTTATCTTCGACAAGATCAAATTACGAAATTTACAGCAATGCTGACATTTACAGGAGATGTTTTGTTTTTGGTTCTGGGAATTTCGATTTGTTTTAAGTTTTGATAAGAGAGTCTTTCCGACGGTTATACGAGAATTACAATACATGAACTCTATGTCGAAGTGACGGGGAAAATTCACATTTTGTAAACAAAGCAGGAATCTGGGATAGCCGCAGAAAGACATTTTCACAAATCCCAAAATTCAATACTGCACATTTTGGAAATCAATACTGTACGTTTTTAAATTAATACTGCACAAAGTGTGTAATACTGCACACTAAAATAGGCCCTGGAAAGAGCATTATCATTCAAGAAAGGAACATGCACAAATTACATAACAAAATATAGGCAACATTGGAAAAATCCTCTTCCCCCTAAATTATCATCTAATTTGTATCATTTATTGATCATTATGATCGTAAATATTTGTGTGAACCCCCTCCCTCCATCTTTGATTAGGTAATATGTGAACGTTCCCATACCCAACTGCCAACGCATCGATAATCTTATCCAGATACAACCATTCTGAATGGAAAGAACATAGGATTGTACTCAGTTAATGCTTCAAAAGTGAGAACCCTCTCAGCTATTCGATATCAGGCATTTGAAATAATTCGCATTAGTCATAAGTGAAGAAACTAATTTGCGCTGGTCATAAGTCTTGGTTAATCACAAGTCTTGGGCGTTTTTGAAGATTACGGAAAACCATTCCATAAATTATACAATTACGAGGAATTAGCAAAAACTGGTGGAAATTGATACATCATTGATACAGTTTTTCTCAATTTAATGGTGAAGCTAACTAAGCTTTAAAATCTATGACGCCGAAACCATAACCACGGCGAACTTTTTATGCAAACGTTCTTTCAAGAGGTCAATTGATGGTTGTAATCAATTTTAGTTCTGTGCGAATAGTAATAATTGCCTTTCGAAAGTTTTCAAGTTTTTTGAAAAATATAACTCGAAGCAAGGGCGTACCGGGAAATTTCGAAGTGTCCTGGTAGGCCGAGAAGCGATGGGTGGAGAAAAACTGGATAATTTTTCGCAGGTAGAAAGGCCAAAATTTGGTGTATCCTACCAAAGTCAATAGAAAAAACTCTGGTCTGGAAGCCCATTGTTCTGTTCTTTTGTTCTCATCTAGAACTTGAAAACACTTTTATTTTAATCACGTGACCTAAGTAAGGGGACAAGAAAAAACATTTTCTTCTCTCGCAATAGCAGATGCAGACAGTTTCGTGAAGCCCAGCGCACACAGGCGACCCATAAGTGTCAAAACAATGATATTTAGGCTTTTGACAAAGTTGCTTATTTGCACGAGTCAGATACAACGATATCCTGCGTTTCAAAGTCTGTCTCCGCGATTAAAAATACTTATTTTCAAGAAACATTTCTCAAACCCTAAAACAGATGATCGCTGATTAAATGAGGATGCAAAAAAGTTGAATCTGATTACTCTATTGCTTTTTCATATATCAACTTTTCAACTAATGCCTCTACGTTGAATATACTTTTGTTCTGTCCAAACAGAGACCGAGATACAACAACGTTTGTGAAGCCCTGATTAATTAGTGTAGCAACAGCCAAATTTTGGAAAATAAAAGCTTTTTCTTATGCTATTGAGCTTTTTGGGGGCAAGGCTCCCTGGCCCCCCGATTTCTCGGTCCTTGGTCCAAAATGATGATGGCGAGGGCACCCTGTTGTATGCTCTTCGTGTATACCTCTAACAATTCATTCACGAGTTTTTTGAACACACCCTATTTTGGCTCTTCAAGCTTCAACCATATCTGTATCAGCAACGTACTCGACTTCATTTATTTTTTCAACGAAGGCTTGTATTTTTGTTTCAAAACTCTTATCAGGTCTAGACAGGACATTTAGGATTACAATACTTGAGGCCCTCACTTCGCTTGAACATTCTACAAAATGTGACTTTTTGAGAAACATAGCATTGACACTTTCTTAACTTTCTTAATTGGTAATGGTTCTCGCCAGGCGCGTAGCGGATGTTCAACGTTTTGGGGGGCTAAGCATGGATCTTCCCCGAAAATCCTCTCTTCATTGAGATAGAGGGTTCCAAATGGAGCCGGAAATGTGACAATTTTCTCTGAGAAGGGAAGCTGCAACTAACCCAGCCCATTTTCCCTACGCCGATGTTCTCGCAAATAAAAACATCTCCAGATTCAATTTCATGCTTAAAATAATTGCTTACAAACGTGCAATTCTTTTTATACCGTTTATCCAAGCCAAAAAAACTTGCCAATTGCGTCGCGAAGTTCTAAGAAATCTTACTCCCGAGTAAAAGGGGTGACAGAAATGCCTCATCCCTGAACTGCACAATATGAGCTGACCATAGTTTTAATAATATCAGCACAGAATAGATTGTAAAATTACCAATGTTCTCGAGAAACATTCAAAACTCAATAAATAATCCTATACACCTGTTTTCACGCGTCCCCTTACTGAGATCACGTGATTGCAATAAACACGAACAAAGAATAAGAACAAAAGGCTTCCAGACCAGAGTTTTTACAAAGCAGTGAGAGATCGCTTCCAGAATATTTTTCACCAACAAAAAGTCCAAAAATAGAAAAGAAGAAAGTGCAAGTGAAATTAACCCTGAGCACACAGAAAAACATGTTATCCTTGCAAGATAAGGGAGCTTTTTGATGCAGCAATTGCTGATCAGCGAGCAGCATCCCAGCAAGTTAAAGAAAAACAAACAGCAGAAATGGAAAAAGCTGAAGAAATGAGAAGGTAATCAGTAGAACCAATGGGAGAAAGCAGGAAGAGAAAGGAAGGGGAGGTAAAAAATGTATGTGAAAGGAAACGTAACGTTCGGCAGAAAACCTTTCAAAATTATTCAAGAAAGAATCAGAGTTGGAAACTCACAATTGCGTTTGAAAACCAAGTTTAGACCCACTTTCCGTTTAGAATACAAATTGAAGAGAGTTTACCCTGTCGAACTCAACACAGGTTGAACCCGGGTAGCTTTTTGTAGTGTAAACCGGGCTTTCGATTGGAAATAATTTCACTTGCTTTCATTATTAAGCGTCGGACGAAGAGATAAAAAAGAAATTATGCTTTTTCGCTTTGCTCTCCTTTTCAAATGAATGTATAGCGAAGGGCTAGAGGGGGGGGGGGGGATTGTGAGAAGTGACGTAATTGGCAATATAATAGAGGGGTTCAGAGAGGTGGTGACACAGGAGGTTAGGGGGCCAAAAATTATTTAAATTATAGGTGATATAATTTATGTATGACCCTGTTTGTCTACACTATCCTATCGAACCTTGTTTCAGCCTGGGTACGGGGTAGAGTGAACCCAAGTAATATTTTCTGTAGTGCGAACACAAAGTTACCTAGCCAAGGTTGATCTGGGCTGACTCGGTCCGGGCTGACTCGCCCCGGGCTGACTCGCCCCGGGCTGACTCGGCTCGGCCCGGCCCGACTCGGTTTCTATAAAAAATTACTGGTACTGGTCTCTATAAAAAATTAGTGAATACAACATGCACCTAGCAGCATACCCTTCCCTCTACAACGCGTATAAATGCTTGATGACACTTAGCTGCACCTAAGTTTCCTTTGAAAGATTATTCAGCGCTACTGATAATTTCAAAAGAAGAGAAAACTTTCCACATTGAAAACTTTCCAGAAAACTTTTATGCATTGAATGGCTAAACATTGTTGCTGGATCCGTTTTAAAACAGATCAATCATTATTTTCTGGAATTTCGACGAGACAGAAAACACCACAGCAAGCACCGCGACTGTAAACGCTTGGAATTTGCGAACGACGGCTTATTTTTCCAATATTAACATCAATTCATAAATTTAAGTGCAATATAAGGCCACTCACCAAATTTCACATCGACATTTGAAAGAGATATTAACGAAATCAATCCTTACTTTCACCAAATTTATAAGGGCTCAGTATGGAGCAAGTTCCTTTTTGCCACTATTCAAAATGGCGGAAGTAAACAAATTTGCCTCACAGATGACCTGCGAGTTAAGACATCTAGCGCCTTCGGCGCTTCTATTGAGGATGAGGCTTGGCGGCAAAACCACTTTATTATATCGAGGCAGTTTGATAAAGTCACACTCGAAAAAAAAACATGTGCGGGATATGCTTTATTTTGCAAACAGAACATCAGAAAGCCGAAAAGGTTAGCGAGCACTTGGATTTAACAGCAACGCAAAACCGGGAAAGCAAGGTCTCTAGATGTCTAGTATAATTATTATTAACTCATACCAAAAAAAATTTTCAACATAACCCAAGTTAATCAAAATATTCCAAAAATTCAAGACAATAAAAAGTACAATATGAGATAGGTACTTTGAGATAGGTACACGGAAAGTTGACGGGTAAAAGAAAGGACTAACTGGCCATGTACCCAAGATCATTCACTTATGAAATCCTTGTTGTTTTGATCATTGTTGATATTGTTACAAAATTGTTTTTTCGACAAGCATCTTGTCCTTTGAATATCTTATATTTGCAGTGCAATTTTCTTGTAAGTTTATTTGTAAGTTAAGTGATGAATGTAAGTTAATATTTTCAAGTCAAAACTGAAAGAAGTCCTTGTAAATGGTTATAGTCCTTAATTCCACATCTAAATCAAGGAAAAATTATTTAATTATCTCTTTCTTTGGAGACATCTTCTGATGTTGTGTTCTTTTTTTAAGTTTGTCGATGTTTTTCTAGTTTTAAGAGGGGAGGGGAGGGGGGGGGCTCTCTCTCGATTAGTTTAATTATCAGAGAGCTCCTCCTCAGACAATTATGCCTAAATACATACGAGCATGGTTTTCGGATGTAGTCTTGTTGACTGCTTCTGAAACCCATGCTCTTTCCATGTTCTGTACAGTATTGTGCCTTGTTTTCTTCACTTTCTTCTGTGTCTGGTGTGGAAGTATTATGTGTAAGTATTTTGATTGTTTTAGTTAATCTAGGTAATTCAACTGCCTATACTTGTATTATGTATTTAGTAATGATTGTCAATAAAAACTCAAACTGAAAACTGAAAATCCACTGGCTCTATGTTTGTTGCCAAGATCCTTTCAAAGTGATTCATGGAACATTTTCCTATTACTTGAGATGTTTTCTTTGCAACTTAGCTATAAAATCACTCCAGAGATCTTTTCAAAGGCGTTGAACTGCTCTTTAGCAAAAATCCCATCATACCACTAATTGCTAACACCTTAAATCCTAGGGAAAGTCAGTATGCCGACTTTCAAACAGAGGACCAGATGCTGTTGGAAATTTCAAAGAAATCTTAAATAAGTTTCAAAATGGGAGCTATAAGCTTGAGATGGAATTTGCTGGTTATGTGCTGCATCTTCGTGGATGTTTAACAGTGCAACCCCTGAAAGATCGTGCTGGAAATATTCTTCTTTGGAATGGGGAAATCTTTGGTGGAGATATCAAGGTGACTTAAGCAAAATTTTCCGTTAAAATATTTACTAAATGTTGGATTTTTCAAATAAATTTGAATGCAAGACATATTTTTGAGCATTCAATACACCAACTACAAGCGGTAACGAAGAGGCCTCAATTCAAATCCCGTCCTCCTTTTATCAAGTACTTTCAATTTCATTTTTTTATTAAACTTCAGCTTCAGTTTGAAACCAAAACTTTAGTGTACATACAAGTTTTCATTGTATTTTTTGATACTGATTTTATGACAATTTAATGAAAACACAATACAGCAAACATTGTTAACATGAAGATTGTATGAAAATGCATGCAATCAAGGAAAAATAATAAGACACATTGCCCTCTACAGTATAATCCAGCTATAACATACTTTAAGGGACTACAGTTTAAGTATGTTATATCCAAAGCACGTTGTTACCAGGACGTGTGTAAAAATTGACTAAAACCAAGCACATCTTTTGCTGGAACCAAGCACACCAGTATGTTATATCATAAAGTACGTATTAACCCAGTATGTTAAAATGGGATTCTACTGCACTGCTATAATATAATTGACTCAACTGATTTTATGGCTAATGCCTAACTGGAGTACATTTGAAATTTTTAAAACCTTCATGAGCCAAAAATCCTTAAAACAAAAGTTCCTGTGGCATAAAGCTAGTGCAATGAACTAAGTTTGAAGTTTTTACCCTATACATATGATCTGAACTTACTAATCATCCACAAGAAATATTTCCAATACCATGGCTGTGAAGCCAACAACAAAACACAATTGGGTAAACAGGTGCAATCACCCCTCTCCGAAAAGGTAGCCATATGCCTGCCAATGACTTTATGGTGCTCTGCATTTCATAAGCTAGAGTTGGCAATCCAAACCCTTATTTACATTTTCTTCTACTACTTACACTCTCTTCTACTACACCACAAGCAACCTCACTTGATCAGTAGCAACTTCTTCAGCTTTGCTTTAAATATTTTTCTAAGATCTTCTTAAAAGTTGTCATATTTTACATATCCTTTTTATTTTCTGATTTTGAAGTACTTATCAAAAAAGATTCCTCATTTATTTATAAAAAAACCTTTTAATCATTGTAGTTCAAAACCTTATACTATGCTGTGCTGTTTGCAAAATAAAGCTATCAGATTTGATTTATGGGAGAGTTAAAAACTGGTGTAAAAAATTTTAGAAAAATTTTTTGGTTGAAACAGCTGGTACATTTTATAAATCTCCTACTATTTCTTTCTTCTCAGCAGATTTGAAGATATGGAAGTGCTAATAAAATTTATAATATAGGTTGAAAATGATGAAAATGATGGTGAGAAATTATTAGAGGTTTTGTCAAGTATTCAAGCACAGTGTAATGAGGAGAAAAATGCTGAATATATGATGAAGATATTTGGAAATATTCATGGTCCATGGGCCTTTGTTTATTGGCAGGTAAATATATGATTGGGTTCTTGTTTAGCTTTCCTGGAACCATGGCTTCTGCAAGCTTTTTTATCATCAATTAAATAAAACAATACATAGTAAGTTGATGTGCATATCATGGCAGGAATAGATGCGAAGGTCATCAGAGTTCCCACCATGAAAGGCACTTACAATTCAAAAATTATATTACATAGGGAGAAAAACAACTACAATGAAAGAGATCTCTGCAAGCTTAAAGCCAAGATGCCCATAATTTCTCAAAGTATCAAATTCTGCTATTGACATGTGACATGCTTTCAATAACTTCACAAATAATGATCATATGTTTTAAATCTAGATAAATTCTTTGTGAGCAAGTCGAAGGATCATGTACACATATGACCGTTAGCCGACAAAGCATTCACCAGCTGATATGTGTATGTTTTTTGAGAAAAATATTCTCAAAAGTATTTAAAAAATTAGATGATTTTTTAATATACTAGAAAAATCAAGGACTTCTTTGGTTTGGTCGTGACTATTTTGGAAGGCGCAGTTTACTATGGCATTTCCCAAAATCCGCCTCAGACCAGTTTATTTTGAGTTCTGTGGCACATGACTCAGACAAAATGGTTAGTTTTATTTGGTATTTGTACTCTCTTCATTTTACCTTCTTTCTAAATGCAAAATTACTTAAATTCAATAATCTTGATGCACAAAATATTGCTAAAAAAGTCATGTGCATGCAGCAGGTTGCTTATAAATGTTATTTCTTTTATACCTCAAACAGAATGCATTTGTTAAAACAATACTTCTACAAGCAAAGTTTTATGAAATTACCTTCTTTTCTCAATATCTGCTTTTAAAGGATTTTACTGAAATACCTGCAAAGATGCTTTACTGTATCAAAATGAAAGATGTATTGGACTTTTGGAATCCCACTGATGAACTCATAGGCAGCAGTGGAAATAAATTCGAACAATGCATAAAAGCTCTCTCAATGCAAGTTCCAAGATCAGATCATGGACTCAGAAATATGTTACTTGAAAAAAGTGTTTGTAATTGTTTATCACCAAAGAAAGAAAGTACAGAAAATGCAAAATTTGATACTGAAAATTGTTTAAGTACTGAAAAGAATGTTTTTAAAGAAGGTTCAGATGAGAAAGTTGGAGCATGTGAAAATAGTTCAGTAGCAGACAAAGAAAGTATGTATGAACCAGTAAACACAGATTTATTATGCAAATTGTGCAGTTGCATTCATCTAAAGCCTTATACTGAGCCACCAGCAAAGGAAACATCTGAAAATGCAATGATGTTGGAAAAATGTGCATCATTTTTCTTGGAAGTAATGGAGGAAGCAACAAGACGAAGAGTTTATAATTTACCACGAGAAAAATTTCTTGAACTAAAAAACAAGGAGGGTATTTTGGACAGTTTACAGACCATAGATACTAAAGAGGGCAAACAGGTTACAAATGTTGGAATACTTTTTTCTGGAGGGATTGACTCTATGGTTCTTGCGGCTTTGGCTGACAGGTAAATTGGCTACTTGTTTTTAATTGTTTAAAGCCACTTTCTTCTAAAGGCATGATTATAAGTCATTCAGATGTATTTGAAATGGGCTGTAATAATCAGAATCATAACCACCAGGTTGCAATCTCCAATCACATTGAAAGTTTCCACTATACCCCTTTTATTCCACAAGGCGCTTTCATAGTCAGCAATGATTATAAAAACTTTCAATATATTCAGTACTTCTCTCACACAGTAGCTCGAAAGGGACTGTAAACATCCGTTATGCCCTACTTGCTCTTTGAGCATTTGTTATTAATATCTGAAACCCTCATGGTGGAGAAAGGGGTTGCTGAAAGTTGTTATCAAGGTATCATCCCAAAACCATATGCGGATGGGAGCTTTCAATTGACTTCCAAAGTAAACAGAGTTTCACATTTGGAAGGAGAGTCATTCATTTTGAAAGAAAACAACTTGAAGTTTAAATGGAATGAGGAGTTAGGGTTTCTCTGAAGGCTGATTGAGGAGGTAATGTAAGAGATGATTGGATCATTTAATCAATATGATAAAAAAACATTCATTTAAGTAAAAAAATAACATGAATTGATGTAACCATGTTATCATTGTTAGCAAAAGTGTTTACAAAAGGAATCAGATTTCCTTTAAGTATACCCCGTGGAAGGACTAAACTACATACAATGCCCTTATGGTGTTTTATTAATAAAATAATGATAAGGTTTTCATTTGGATCATTTTGTATGCAAGGTGTATTCCAAAAAATGAAGTCATTGATTTATTCAATGTGGCATTTGAGCAAAGAGTCAATCAACAAAATTTGAATGCCCACAAAAAAAATCCAAAAGAAAGTGAGAAAAAGGAGCCATATGACGTACCAGACAGAATCACAGGGAAATCTGGTGTTTGTGAATTGAATCCCAAAAGAAGGTGGAACTTTATAGAGGTAAAATCATCATTAAACCTAATTATACATGTAGTAAGGCAATTTATATACTAGGCAGAATTTGTGGCTTCAGTATTATACTTGAGGTAGACATAACTCTATTTCTGATGAACACAACTTTAGCCTTACTTATCAAGGAAAGGGAATATTTATCTGAGTGAGGCCTAGCAACATTTGCTTATTTGACAAAATTTTATTTAATATGTTCCCAGTTTTCGTCATAAAGATATTGTCATGAGTGTGGTAAATCGCAAACATAATATAATCAATGCATGAGATTCACACTCTTACCCAGGGTCCCCAAAAACAAAAGGCCACCTCCCCACTTTTTGTGCAAAAAAATGATATTTTTTAAAAAATCTTTTGTTATCAGTTTTCCAACTTCTGTCAGTTTATTTGAAAAAACGTTACTTTTGGTGAGCGCTTTTGGTGGGTGTATTGCGGCGCATTGCGTGTATTTTCGGGAATTAAAAGCTTGCTCTAATTCTAGACCCAAAAAAGTAGCCTGAGCGCTCCCTATCCTAAAAAATATACGAGGAAATTAATGCTCATGGAAACATTTTACAGAAAAAGATTTTCCGCGCAGGGAACATTTTAAACAGTGAAAATTGCGATGAAAAAGACAGTATTGTTGAAAACTTTCTTTTATGGTGTTTTTATTGACTCCAAGCTACAAGGTATTGATAATGAGTATAGGAATTTTCGTATGTTAAATTTGCTGTACGTATTCAGTTTTCGGCTTGCCTACGACGACATCGTATCTCCTCCGAAAACGCTATTGTAAAAATAAGGCAATGTTGCTCAACTTTTGTAAGCAAAACTTTCAACATTTTGAAAAACTACAACCCTAGAAAGGTCAAAAACAACGGTCAAATGTCTGACTCATGCATGTGCCAAATCGCTCGCATTATTTGCTCCATGCGTATGCCGATGCGTGCACGTGCAATCGCACGCATTGAATGACAAAGACTGTGTTCCCCAACTCTTCATGAACAGCATTAATATCATTTGACATTGACCAGGCAAAACCCAGAAAAATTCTGACAGAAAGATGCTTTGGGGAACATTTGCCACCACTGTTCCCTCCAACAACTCCTTTGTTGCAAAGCAATCACAAAAGGAGGTGATAACAATTAGAAGTTGTAGATTATTCTCAAATTTTTACTGAATGATTGAATCGTTTTATAAAACCTGTTACATTCTTTGTCTGTTTATTTTTATAGATAAATGTTACTCTTGAAGAACTGAAAAGTGCCAGGTATTTGATAAATTAATTTTGATGTAAAGTTTCGCTACTTCCTTTCACAAAAAAACTATTAACCACCAAGAAACAAGGTGTCCTTGTAAGTTAGCTGGTCAAAAGTAAAAATTTCTAAAAAAACACTTGAATATCCTTGAGTAGAAGCGTTTTCAAACCTAAAGGAAAGCTTTCAAAAGAATTACAATCTGGATGCTAAAATCTGGATGCTAAAATCTGGATGCTAAAATCTGGATGCTAAAATCTGGATGCTAAAATATCATGAGAAATCTGTGACAACTTTCTTTAGCAAATGCAAATATAAAACCTCAAGAAACAAGTTTTATGAATACCAACAATAAGTTGATGATATCCTCCTGGTTAAGTAATAGGGAAAATAATTTTGGAACAATTAATGTAAAAATATCCTGATACTGTCAATGAAAGCCTTCCATGTAATTTTTTAGTTCTTGAAAACACAGTCCCTTGCCTGTTTTCTGTGATTTGCTCATTGAAAGTGTGGCACTCCTTCAAAATGCCTTTTTGTATAGAAAATTATCTCTTCCATTGAGCTCACATCGTTATGCACATCTTCAAGAATCAGATCATTTTTGTAAAACTTTTAGTCTTTGAAAGTTTGTGTTGCTATGATATAGCTACTGGAATGTAAATTGTTAATGTGAGACATTAACATTTAGCAAAATAATAAAGAAAAATCCAGTATGTGCAATTGATATAATACCATTCAAATTGCTACTTCTAAAATGATGCACGTAATGTCAAAAACAAACATTTTTTTGTTTCTTTTCACAGAGAAGAGCATGTGAAGCACCTAGTGTATCCACTGGCAACGGTTCTGGATGACAGCATTGGCTGTGCAATATGGTTTGCAGCAAGAGGCAGGGGTGCACGATTTGTACTTGATAATGGAAAGCTGGTTAAAAAGGTTGAAGACTATACAAGCAACGCGAAGGTGAGTGATGCTTGGCATTTGTTGTGAAAAGGAAGTTATGGTCGCCAAGTCTATTCTTTAGTGTGGGAGTATCATGGTGTATGGAAACTTTAATTTCAATTGATGTTAGGTTGGTAAAAGGTGTAGGAGTAGAATGTAGGCAAAAGAATAGAGAAAAAAATGTTCATGGACAAGAATAAAATAGTAGGTCTAGACATGTTTTTAAGTAGACCATGTGATTACCAAGTTTATGTATTTTGACAAACAAAATATTCAGTCTTCATCACCAGATCAAGTTAGTTACTATTTGTATGGAATGTAAATGTAAATCTTTCAACTTTCAAGGGTTTGTGAATAATACGAACTCGAGTGGTATTCAATAATGCTTATGTAGCATTCGATAGACTGGTTTCTATTGTCAACTCATCTATCAAAGGATATTTTGGTTGCTTGACAGGTGCTGCTGACTGGAATGGGAGCAGATGAACAGCTAGGAGGCTATGCTCGACATAGGAGTAAATTCGAGTATGTTTTCAGCATTGACATCAAAACTGGAAGTATAAGAATATGTCATTCCTGCATCTGATTCTCTAGCCTTTCTGAGTTTTACATTGGCAAATATCGTGTAGCTGTCTGACATCATAGCTGGCAAAGCTCTTTTCTCAGAAAAGAAGGACGTTTCACAAGAATGTATAGAAATGGCAGTAAAAATAGAAGATTTTTGTAATTTAAATATTGATAAGCCTTCAGTTTAGGACACGACCTTCTCCTAACACATTTTATGACAATGTTCTTTAATCTGGTTTGATCGTCTTTCTTTTGACATTTGATAAAATTTATAAGTTAAAACGAAGTTGGCTTTTAATCATTTTTGACTTTAGGAAGTTTGGATGGGAAGGCTTGAAAGAAGAAATAGAGATGGAAATCGATAGGATATCATCAAGAAATCTTGGAAGGGATGACCGGTTAGTGAATCTTTTATGATTGCAAATTGACGTAATGAGAATTAAGTCAACATGAAAGGCCGTTTGAAGCATCAATGCAGACAGTAGGCAGACATTAGATTGTTGTTACTCTAAGGAGCGAAGTTTGAGTTTGAAGCCCATGTTCAAAGTTGTTGGGTTCAAGGACCTATCACGTTGATTGTTTGAAATATTATAAAATCAGCGAATTTTGTGCATATCGTGAATAGCGGTCGAGGCGAAACACTAAGTAGTGTGTTTTTCAACTCATATCGCAAATATTAAGAAAGAAGGTAAGCTATTGCAGCGATAAGAAGACCTAAAAATGAATTCTAAAATTTCATAGGATTTTGTATGCTGTATTGCATCCATAATCGTATTTAAGGTTCATAATCATTATCATAAATTAGAAATCGATCTGAAATCAATTGGAAATCAATCAGAAATTAGCTAGGAATCAATTAGAAATCAGCTAGAAATCGATCAGAAATCTATTATTCGAAGCGTTCGAGCTAATGTCTTAATCGATTAGTCATTGAATGTGGTCTCAGTGTAATTGTATGTTTCAATTCCTTACAGTTGTATCTCGGATCATGGACGCGAAGCACGGTTCCCTTTCCTTGACGAAAATGTGGTGGCTTTTTTGAAAAGAGTACCCATTTGGATAAAGGTAGTTGACAGCTCTTATTACTACTAAATGATAATATCTAGGCATTTGCTATGCAAATAACTATTAATTGTATCATACAGAATCCACAAATGTGTTCATCTTTTCTATAGCCATCTAGACATAGTATTCAAAGCTGGACAGATAACACCTATAGACACATGACAGGTAGTATGCATATCAAACTTTGTCCCCCTTTCCCCTTTAAATTTCGTTTTAAAAGTAAGGATATCAACATCGAATTGGGGAGAAATGGATGCAATCTCTCAACACCGTCTGTCCTGGATCATAGGTTTCAAGTACTGCACCTAATGTTATTAAAGTTCAATATTTAATGTTTTGAATAAAAAACAAGACCTGATGATTTCATTTGTTTTACATAATGCATGTGGATAAAGCATTTCTGTTTGCATAGTGTGATCCAAGGCTACCACGTGGTCATGGAGAGAAGAGGCTGTTGCGGGAGATGGCAAGGAAACTGAACCTACATGGAGCAGCTGTTCTGCCAAAAAGGGCAATTCAGTTTGGATCAAAAATAGCGAAGATAGAAAACTCAAAGGAGAAAGGAAGTGACACTTGCAACAGGCTGCAGGAGCGCGATCAACAAACAACAAAAAAAACATTTTTAACGGAAATCTTTAAATATTTTTAACTCATTATCAATTTTATATAATTTTTATTTTTTTGCAAAATTAATGTTGGCTCCAAGTCAAACTTAACTACTACAGATTTTTCAACTGTTCATAGTTTTCTGCTCTTCAAAAATTATCATACGAAGACGCTGTTTGATTTGCGACAACCAAACACTTGGTAATAACAAAAGATGTTACTTCCCTTTGGAAGCATCAGTTCAGCCAAGCCTATATCGCATTTTTTCCAAAGAACTGATTTAATATTGTGGACTTGCGTACTTTAAAAAGATGCAGTCGGTCTTCAGCTCTCGTATTAAAAAACCCAGTACACTTTAATAAGTCTTTCTCTATTTCTACTTACAATGCATCTGCAAACCTGGACCTTCTTCCATTCGCCTCTTCTTCCGCGCTGTCATTCCTTCAAAAAACCCTTCCACATCTTTCTTAGTGACAACCTGCAACAAAGATTACATATTATTTATTGGCGACATGAACTCAAGGGATCATGAACTCGAAATCTAATTAAAAATGCAGTGTTAAAAAAGAATTATCAAGTAAGCTAACTTAACCTGTGATTTCGTATTTTTTCTGTTACTTTTCTGTTTTTGTTGGTTTTTTTCGTATGGTTGTTGTTGATGCTTTTGCTAGCAGATTGCTCAAATTTTTCGTTAAGGAAAATTTCCCAGGGAAATAGATCTTGTTTTCCTTTGGATATGCTTAGTTTTTTTTGGTTTTCGAAACAAATCCACAGAAAGCTGGAAAGCTTGTCCTTTTCAAACCGAATAATTTTCTGCTAATCAAGGCACATTTGTTGGCTTCACTTTCAGGAAATCGCAAAAAAATAAATATTTCTTTTTCAGTAACAATGTTTTATGATAAATCAATGATAGTTCATATTTTCATTACTATTCATTCACCAATTCTTTAAATTTTAAATTGGACGCTGGGACTTTACAATCTGGTGGATACATATTTGATTCTTCGCAAATTTGATTAGTTTTCGAGTTGCAGTGGTTAGGTTACTTAACCAGACAATAGGCCTTCGATGCCAGTGAGGATTATTTTAAATCCCTTTCAAGATACCATATTGATGCAGATACAGGGCAGACGGAAATGAAAGCTAATTATCCAAATATTAAAATTTCTTTAATAGAATCAGTAGAATTCTGGTTGATTTGAGGTGCAGTAAGACATCTCTTATCTTAATATGTAAAATAAAACCAAGATAAAATAAGAGATAAAACAAATGCTAAGGAAACTGAATACAAATTACTATTAAGTACGCTTTCCCACCTTTCCTTCGCCCACGAATGATTTGAAAAAATCATGAAGCTGGTTTTTCATATCATTGTATTCTAGGAAAGAATAAAAAATCTTTGAAAAGTTACTCACTTACTTAGAAAGTTACTTACTTTTCAAAATTCTGTAGAAGGCGTAAATAAAAAACGGAAATATATAGCTTTAAAAATGATACAAAATAAGAAAAATAGTTTTACTTTGACAAAATATCGTTTGGTTTGGTCGATTGTCTAACTCAATTCTACACTCAGAATAGAAAAATAAAAAGCAAATAAATATCAAATAAATAAACAAGTAACAAAAATATTTATTCATGGTACCCTCTTCAACACAGACATTGCTTTTATCAACGAGGGCTCTGTAAGAACCAAAACTCACGACAAAGTGACAAACTGGAATATATCAAATCCGTCCAAATCAGTTCAACAAAACAATGTCGTACAAAAATGCCTACTTTCTACAAATCTACAACTAAAAACCATCCATCTGAAAAGTCTTAAATTTTGGCTTATATTTGAACTACATTGGCTACTTTATTCGAATTCAGCTGGTCAAAGCATTTGTCTTAAAAATCATAGACTAAAAAACATGTCTACTGTCTTAAAGAAAGTTCTCTGAGGCGCCATTGCCATCTAGCTGCAATGCGAATTGTTCACAGGACAACCCTCCCCCCTTCAAAAAAATGTTGCTAAGACTAAGTTTCTGATAAGAAAAAAAAATTAAAACGATATAATGGTTAATCCCTGCAAAGATGAGCATAAGTGTTTAAGCACATGCAAAATGCTTTTTTATCAAAGAAACTTTAATTTACGAGCCTTTTTCAGGCCGAGAAATAAAGCTATTAATATCTAATATGTATCTTCATGAAATGTCGCATGTTGACCATGGATCATTTATAATTGCAGTCCGCTGGCAACTTTGAGCTACCAACCCCTGCAAGTTTCTGTATTGCTTTTTTCTATCTCAGTAAAATGAATAAATCGAGGTTTTTCTATATAAAAAATTTGGCTCTTTCTCTCTCCAAAACACAAAAACACACTCCTTAGAATAAAAATATTTGGTCCTTATATGACAATACAAGCTTCAAACTAGGTTCTTTTTTGGGGGAATTTTGGTACGAGCTTTTTTTGAGGGCATTTTCGTGCGAAGAATATTGTTTTGGGGGATACGGGTTTACTTTTATCGGAAACTGTTAACTCCTTCAAAACGAACTTCCGCTGAATAAACTGTAGCACCTAAAAGGATCTAGGAAATAACTATGATTTTTTACTTTCCAGAGGACCAGTTCTACACTGTTTTCGTCAAATTAGATCATAGAATAAAACATTAAGGCACAAAATCTGAAAATGTTTTTACCCTACTATTTGCAAATAAACAAAATTGCTCCCACTCTTCTGTGCTATCTTGACGTTGTGCACTACATATAGAGAACCTAGGCATAGCGGACACCTGCGGGACCAAAGTTAACGTGCTTTGCATAGGTGTCCGCTATCTACAATCCTGGCCTCATGTCCGCTATCATAGCGGCGTCCGCAATCAAAGGGGTGTCCGCTTTCAAAGGGGTGCCCGCTATCTACTTGGGACAAACCTATAAACACATGCTCTGTAGCATGTATGTAAAGTAAAACATCTACCTCCTTCCCCCATTCAAAATTTGTGTATATGTACTTTAGTTGTAGAGATGTCAACAATGAACAGGGGGGGGGGGGAGCAAAGTCTCAACACCGTCTACAAGGTCTTGACTGCAACAAATAGCTTAAAACATACAGCTCTTTGGTGTAATAAAACAGGATAGTTCTAAGTTGGAACTCCAAGTTTCAAGTTTGGTGCCACTATCAGACAATTGTAACGTAGACTATTAAAGAGCTTTGGGATTAAGCTTCTTGCCCTCTGTTTGAAGAAGTCTGTTATTAGGAGAGAGGTACTTTAATGGCGATTTCAGCGAAGTTAATACATTTAAAGATGTGAACTTTGATGATTAAATATAAACCATGTAAAATAGTAAACATTAAGAGATTGTCCTACCGGTTAAGATTTCCACTTGATTAATACGATCCATACTGTTAAGGGCTTGCATTCCTTTATCAAACGATGAGTTGTTCCCTTGCATTTTTCTTCCTTTATCTTCGTATACTCGTACAGTGTCGTCTTCGTTGGTAATGAAGGAAACTCCTTTGGAATTGTAAAGATTCTATAAACAAGAGAGAGGTTCAATCACAAACCGGTTGTCAGATCAACAACATTTTGATCGCTTTATAAACAACAAACCCTTAAATGGAATCTGCCATCAAGAGGGAACAACTTTCAAAGAAAGTTAAGAAAGTGCTCGTCCATCCTCTGATAATTAGCCGAAACTTCAACAATCTTCAAATAAAAACTATGAAATCAGGACGTGGTCTAGATCTGGCGTTTGTTTCGTTTTCACTAATCTTTCACAAAGTATTCTCCTCGATTCTGCTTTTTAGACTCTAAAAATAATTTCAAATAGTGCACTATGAGCAGAACATTGCAAAAAAATTCATATAACCTGGAAGAATTTCATCGATTGGAATTCTGATTAATCATCACGAACTTACCTGGCATTCACTGCATCTACACAACAGCTTTCTCCATTGGCTTGGCCAGAACGTGGCTTTCAGAACTGCGTTTTCATCTATTCCTTCGTTTCCTGTTTTGAGTGACTGTAGCTTGCAAGAATCATTATGTGATGGTCCAGCATCAGTCTCTTTCTGTGATGCTTCAGCGACCTACAAAAACATCAAAGATGTTTGAAACGTGAAGGATACTGACATGGAAATTATTCGTTCCCCATTGAATTTCCAAAACAAATTCAAATTAAATAGTCTCAAATTTCAATGCTCCTAAATAAATTTCTTAAGAGGAGATATCAGGGGTGGACAACTGCAGTTAAAGGGGAAGGGGTGGACAACTGCAGTTAAAGGGGATCTCTGCTGGGAGACCACGGCTCATTCGCCTTGTCAGGGCTTGCTCTTGTCAAAGGTGGTCTTGTTTCGGACAACAGAGCCCGTTCCACCGAATATTGGGATGCAAAAGGTGAGGTAAATCGAGGGGTTTTAGTTAGACTATCTTAGTTCCTTATTTTATCTTGATATGACTTGTAGTCTCCCGAAAGGGAAATCTGACGCCAGGAGTGGACATTTCCAGAAAAATTTGGTCGCCCAGCGGATACCCTGTGTAACGATAAGTGGTTTCCCGCAGATAAAAACCGGTCGTCCCTGGTGCGTGAGAGAGCGAATTGTCCCCCTAGACATATACAAACGACCTGATGGCAAATTTTCAAGGCAAAGCACTTTCGAAAGTAATTTTGACATTCATAGAAAAGAGTTCTACGCTTCTTGAGGAGGCCCGTTTCTATACGTATACTGGAATTAGATTAAAAAAAGCTAGCTTAAATTTAACATAAACCAAAAACATGCATGTGTGACCTAACTTCAAGGCGTACCTCGGCGTTTGTGGATGTTGCAACAGAACTTTCATTATCTGCAGGCTTTTCTTCGGACGGGCCTTGGTCTTGATTACTGTCTTTGTCATTGATTAACTTCGGCTTCTCTTCAGAAACCTCCTTTTTCTGTGGGGATTTATCTTGGCTTTTTACTAAAGAGAAGATCGCATGTGTCACTATAGATAAGACAGACATTTGAGACAAGTTTTCTTTAAATTTAATAATATTAACTACCACGAGATCGTTTTCTGAGGATTCTATTTGTTTGAAGATTTGAAGATAAAAAAACATCAATTAAATGTTCAAGGCTAAAGATAGTAATTCAATTTTCGCAGGAAAACAGAAACACAGTTAAACTTAATACTCTTTTATAACAGCCGACGTTTCTTTGAAGATGTTTAATATGATGAAATATCACTTTTCGTTTCGAAGATTATTTCATGATTTGATGCTTCGTACCATTTATGCTTTTTGCATGAAATAAATAAATTTTCTTTGGAAAAAATAATGTTGTTTTAGTATAACATGCAAATGATGCTTTACAAATGATGAGAATGATGCTAGTAACGTGCTGTAGCCAGGGGCCTCAGTGCATATTAGGGATTTGGGGTGGGGTGTCTCAACATGCTAAAGGCAAAAAGCAAGAGTATTTTCGCATTGCTTTAAGTACAATTTTTAAAAATTACTTGGCAGGCCTAAGCTCCACAGCTCCGCAAAAGGCCACCAAGGGTTTTTGGAGGCCATGGTACAATGAAAGGCGAGCGAACTTTTTGCGAGCATGCCCTTTAGATCAGCTTGAATTCATTAATTTTCTTGCAATTGTTTAAAACGTTTTACTATTTTTTGGAAAAATTTTGTTACTTTTAGTTTATTCCATTTGAAATGTAATTCATTACTTTATTAGGCCCCTTAGATCCCGAGGCCCTGGGGAAATTCGCCTCTTGTCCCCACCCTGTTGGCGGCCCTGTTCCGCGGTCTTTGGCTATAGCGATTCTACTCGCTAGTAATTTAAACAGCTAGATCTTGCAAGCAGACTACCTGAAATGCTTTTATACCAACGGAGAAAGTCGAGGTTCTGCATACAGGCATCACAAATCATTTCTTCGTATTCGACAGGGGCTAGCGTGCCAAGATGCTAAAAGAAAGAGACAACATGGAGTGAAAGAAATAAACTTTTCGAGGTCTATTGCAAAAGGACACTTGACCAATTATAGCTAGCATTATACTTACAGATTGCAACCCTAGATTCAGATTTATCTGCCATAAGTCTTCGCAACTAACTGCAGATACCTGGAGAATGGTACCGCATACTGTTCTTATTAGAAAGGTGTTCATTTAAGGATTTGTAATACTTATCTTTTAATGTTGAATAACTACAAAGTAAAGGAAGAAGGTCAAATAATGAAAAATATTCTTCCGTAACCTGCCACTCAAATAAAGCAAAAATTACCCTAAACGACCAATTCTTAAGATAGAAAAATACAAATAAATTGATTTAATGGCAATTTCATGTCAGATACGAAAGGGAATCAAAGAAACAGGAATAAAGAAAAACTTACATCCCCTAGCAAAAAAATTCAAAAATATTTCATGTACTCCAATCTGGTAAGACACAGGTGTGCGAAAAAGTAAACATTCAGCCAAATTGGTGGATTATATCCTTTGATATAATGACTAATCTTGCCAGATTCTAAAAGTTGGGCATCCCCAAAAAGGGGGGCAGGAGAATCCCATCACACTGCTGTAGTTTCAAATTCTAGGTTGCCAGCGAACATCATTTTCTAGCAAACAAAGGGCTTTAGCTTTAGAATAACATCATAAGATCGTGGTTTTTTTCTTTCTACCAAATTTTCGCCTACGTATAATTACGAGCAGCGCAAACGTTGTTCAGTCTCTGTTTATGGCAGCGCAATTGACAGATTATCTTAGCTTATCACAGAACACAGAACATTTATATCTCTTTCCTATCAGCACAAATGTCATGGAATTGACGTCACTATTCAGGAAGGTAGCACATAGAAGAAAACACAATCTTAGCTGGGACAATTAAATATTCAGTTTTAATAACAAGCTTTGAAGATGACCGCAAAGTAAAATTATCTATCGTGCTACAACAGAATAAGGTTCGTTGTGGAACCTGCTGTAGTTAAATATTAGGCAACCATCTTCTACTAGAATTGCCTATGGCACGACCGTAGGAAAAGAGGCAAGCTTACCCTGGAGTGGTACCAGTCTTCACAAACAACACATTGAATCATTTCATCATCGATCTAAAATCAGAAAGAGAATACTGCTAAATAAGTCTAAACGAGGATCTACTCGCAAAAGACATTGTTCCTCTAGGCTTTAACTGAGTTTTCAGTTGCTGATTGGTGATCTTAAAAATGCGTTATAACTTATAAACATAGCATTTTAAAAGTGCATAATAAGACTTTGGATATATTATCAACAAAATTAGTGGAATCCTCCACATCCCTTTGCTTTAGAGCTTAAAATTTAACAAATTTTCCTATTGAAAAGTTGAAGTTCTTCAACCAATGTTCCCTTTTGGGCTGAGATGATCCTGTGTTTTATAACTAGAAACATTTCGTTTTCGCTTGAGGACATTTGGCAGAGATGAAAGAAAACAATCGGCCAGCCAATTGGCTCATTCGATTCTCGAAAAGGAAACATTCAATCTATGTTCTCGTGACTTTGCATCTAGAAATGTTAACTACTGTAATCTGAATTTATCCGATTGGATTGAAATCAGCTGAGGCTTCTAAACGCACTGCAACCATCTGACATCCGAAAGAAATTGAATGCAAAAAATGACCTCACTCACAAATTGGGTAAAATGAATAGACCCTCTCTCTAATATTGAATAGACACTCCAACACTAGCGGACACTCCTTCTAACTTCTAACTCCAACAGGGCACTCCCACGACTGAATGGACGATCCGACACTGGCGACACTCCTTTTCACACTGAATGTATACACCAGCAGGACACTCCCAAAACTGAATGGAACTCCGACACTGGCGGATACTCTTCCAACACTTAATGGACACGCCAACAGGACACTCCAAAACTGAATTGACGCTCTAAAACCGGCGGACACTCCCTTCGACACTGAATGTATACACCAACAGGACACTCCCAAAACTGAATGGAAACTCCGACACTGGCGGACACTCCTTCCAACACTTAATGGACGCTCTAAAACCGGCGGAAATTATAAGGTGACTGAGAGCTTATTAGGGTTGAACTGCAGTTACGATTTGACATGGCTCTAAAAGGGTATCTCGAGAATCTGTCAATTCTCTCAGAGGGACTTGGTCAGTAAATCTTTCACTGGGGGCAGATTTCACTGGGCTTGTTACAGATGGGTGTAAAAGAGGTGGCACTGCAACGGCGAGACATGATAGGATGTACCTAAACGTAAGATAGGCAATCTCAGTGTTATCATAAAAACCAGCAAATGTAAATAATTAACTAGACAAACCTCATCCTCTGGATCAGGATAGGGCCTTCCACAAGTGCAATATTTGCCTTGGAAGTTATGGTTATATGTGTTGCCGTGGTTCTTTTTGTCTTTTTCCTGAAAATACGAAGTTTTACAGTTTATCAAAGGCTTGGAATTTTCATTTCATTTTCATTTCATTTTTAACTATTTACACAGGATAAAGCTATCAACTACATACATAAATTGCTTTCCAAGCTGCCCTGTTCAAAGAAAACGATAAACGCTAAAATTTAAAAATACAGATATACAAATATACAGATTAGAATAACAAAGTAAAAGCATGGAATGATTGGTTTGCTCTAATTCATACCGTCTAAGGTTTTCTCCCGAATAAAGTTAGAATACATTGTTAAAATAAGATCAACCATTCCGCAAAAGCTTGTTATACTATAATACACTATTACACTATAATAGCCCACATTAATTCTCTTTTTCATAAGAGGCGCAGTTTACTTTGATCAAACCACGAAGATAGATTTAGAAATAATCGTAGGTTGGCTCCCATTACAAAATCACACAATAGCAAGGGGACTCACTTTTACCCTTTCTAAATAAACAGCCAAACTGGTTGACCTATACAGTAAAGTGTTTGAGATATATAATTATTTTCTCCTTTGATACAATTAGCTAAGTCTACGAAAACACGATGGTGTGTAGAAAGTCACAACTGGTTTTTATCAACATTGAATTCTTGTCCCCAAAGTTTAGTTGGTTTTCTTAGCAACATACTGACGCGAGAAAGATGTTGTCAGACTGGCTTTTTGGATCTTGGTATTAAGGTGCATATAGAATTGGTAGCGTCAAAGACCATTTTATTAGGTTCTTTCTTAAAGATTTATCTTAAGGAAGAAATTGGTTGGAACTTGCTGGCAATAAGGGTGCACTCTTTGCGGGAAGTCACCTTTTTCTAAAGCCAAAATGCTCTACAATATACATGAGAATAAAGACTGTTTTTATACTGAAGAATCAACACGGTAAAGCAGATCTTCAATGTGTTATTTTCTGATAAAGATTCTTAAACAACAGGATAAGAATGCGATAATGGACGTGTCAGTTAAGTGAAATATAGGGCAAATGGTTTAACAAAACCCATCAAAACCTTGATTTATTTAGCAACACAGTTGAGTCATAGCACAGTTGAGTTATCTATTCCTTGGTTACAGCTTGGGCGTTGAGAAGAGAATTGAAAATAAGGATTACAGGCTAATGCAAAAGAAGTGAGCCATTATGCCTTTGGACAGTGAATCTATTCAGAAAACGTGGCAGCGTCCAACGGTCAATTCCATGCGCGGATTTATAGATTTATACGACAATCTGCGCGGTGAGAGGCGAGTACTTAAAGACTAAAAAATAGAGCTATACTGCTTGCAGAGTGACTGCCAAGCGCTTTTGTCAATAATCCAATGAAATGAGAAGGATTCAATCAATTTAATCCGCATTAAATAAATTTAAGATGGTTATGCTGAGGCCACACTAAAAAACGCCTTACTCGCGAGATACCTAGCGTGATGGTTCACAAAAGGCGCACGTTCTTTTTAATGACACATCGATATAAGGAAAGAAGAACCAGAAGCAGGGCTCAAACAAAGTCATTTGAACAAGCTACTTATAATACCATGTTACGACACCGATTCGATTTCAGCAGCTAAAATACCACTAGGCCTATTTGTCAGGTAATATCATAATCAAAAGGTAATGGCGACCCTTGTATAATATCCATGCGTAAATTAAAATGAGAGAGGAAAGAGAGGAAATTTGTTCTAGGCAAACTACGTTATGCAGCAGGGTGGCTACAATGCTGGACATTAATAGCTCTTGTCTTGTCTTCTAATAGTTTTCTTTTTTCTTTGGAAAATAACTCCCCCCTCCCCCCTCACCCAATAAAATGTTGAATGCATTTTGCTTAAAGCACAATTGATAGAACTATAGAGTCATTTGTAGAAAATTACGTAAAGAAGAAAGTTGCAAAAACGGCAATTTGACTCGAAAATTTTGTCCAGGATGATGGTTTCTGCAGCCTCCATGCAGCACACCGGGTACTCTAGGTGGATACGAGGCGAGCAACGGAACTTGGATTGAAAGGAGCCTTTGCTGCCTCCAAACGCTAGTTTTAAGTCGCACTGGCTAACTAGTGAGGAACTCATTTCAGTTGCATAACTTCAAATAATTGGGAATTCAACAAATAATTATCCTTGAAATGCAAATTGAAACAAACTAAAATCTAGATAAATATATATGATCAGTTTCTGCGAATGTTAATGTAAACATTTACTGTCTTTGCAGATATTGTGATAACACAACTTCATAAGATATAAAGTTTCCTCATCGAAAACGCAAAACTGATTCAAGTACATGCCACCTGACCTGCTACTGACGTCATCATAAAATACATTCGTAAATATTTATAGGAAACAATTAGTGTACAGTGCGAGAAAACGCAGATGTTGTGGCTCTTTCGCGATCAAATGTGGGATTTTTATCTGTTCTTGTGCAATAAAAACCTTGATCTCGGCTACACGTTATCTTAAACAGATAGGCGAAAAATTAATTTATACTCGTATTTTAAATGGGCTAGCATCAGCTATGGAGCCTCGTTTTGGAAGTTAAGATTGTTGACCAAAAAAATTTAGAAACAGGAACCCTATAAGATTGCAAACGTTTTAACAGACTGTGGGAGTCTGAAGTGAAAACCCTTTGCAGGTGTGTTAGAAACAAATGAAATTCACAATTTGAGAGGCCAAAAAGATGACTGAATTAATAGGTTTTGAATAATTTCTGGCTAGAGCGAAACTGAGAACGTTTCTCGCTTCACTCTTGAAAATCTCATCTTATGGCCTTTTCAGGCCTTGGGCATGGACACAAGAAGATTTCAAACAATAACTAAATGATGACAATTTCAAGACACAAGCCAAAAGCACGAGCAGAATAATTAATCAACGTTTATTGCAGCAATGAACACTGAAGTATAAACAGCCATTCGATGATTCGCAGCAAGCCGTATTTTTGTTGGTGATATAAATAGCGCAGTATTGAGGCTTTCCCTCAGTTATAAACAGTTGCAATCACATATCAGTTGCAATCGCTGATCAGGCGCTGTGACCTGCAATGTACTTTTGATAACACAAAGAAAACATCGAAGAACCTATTCTAGATAGCTCCATAATACTTCATAAAGGCTTAGTGCAGTGCATGACTTTCAGTCCTAACGATACAGGTTAAAGGCGTTATTTATCCTTCACTTTCGTAGCTTTACATTTAGAGATGACGAACGCAAGCGAGCTGAGCATGGCCTAAGACTGGTCGTTTGCGTTGTTTTACGCATAATTGCAAATCTACTGTTTAGTTGCGTACAAGCTGTTTATGAGAACACACAACGAAGGGCTGCCTTGCACTGTAATGTAATTATTCTGGCTTAAAGTTGTTATTAACGGTCACATGAAACGGTATTTGACTAGGTAAAGCCTAAATGCATCAAAGGTCTTGGTTTTGAAGAGGGGTATTTGCCCGAGCTTGAAAAGAGATATAGGCTTAATTTCCCGGCTTTGCTTCTAACACAATTGTTCGCTAATGCTTCTTTAGATTTTAAAAGTACGGCTAAGTATGTAGCAAACAAGATGAGCCTGTGATTGCGTTTCTGATAAGCGGGAAATCTGGGTTACTGTTAAATCTAGCGCTAAGAATCACGCTGAATGAAATCATACGTTGAAAATTGACCAAAACAATCAACAGTGTCTGGGCAATCAAGTATCTTGCATTCACCAATCAACCTCTTCGAACAATCAACGTGAGCGTGAAGGAATCACCATTTTCAAGCGAAAAAGAGGCTCACGTTACGACTTTGTGAATAACCAAATAATAAAAAGTTAAAAACTGGAATAATGGAAAATGGTGATATGCAGCATGAAGGAGAAGGCAAAACATTCCGTCAACAAGTATCAAGAAATTGCAGTAGGCTGTTATGCTAGGTTTTACGTTCGCATATTTGGAGGCACGGAAAACACCAATTAAATGTGTTTCTTAGAAGAAAGATATTCAGCAGTTCTTCTAACTTAACAAAAGTAAACGAAAGTAAAACGGTTTATATAGGTAGGACATAAGGGAACTTTCAATAAACCTTTTAATTCTTTTAAAGTAGCTCATGATTATTAAGTTTCTCTTCTGCACAATCTTTTTTTATTACAAAAAGTTTGAAAACATTGAGAGACTATCCTCTTACTATTTCTCCTTGAAAGGAATGCATAGCTAGAGCAAAGCTTGCTTCGAAACAAATTGATGACAAGTTTCCTAGCCTGTATTTCCCAAACTGATGGGCTTGACGTTCTACTTGCATTAGATAAAAAGGAGCTTGGTTTTTTATAGCAAGGTCTTAGCAAGGATTGATGGTACAATACTGACCAAAAAGAGCTTACCCACTTTAAAGCATGGATTCGTTTTTACTAAGGTTCTTAAAGCCAAAAGACCTGTCGTTCATCGTTTGTATGTTTCCTTATTTAACACAATAAAAGATACGTTCAAATCTGACCTCTCTACGTGCAGTTTGAGGAGGCAAATAATAAAATCACAGTACTTCATGTTGCATGCACAGGCGAGAACAGTTAGCACAGGCGTTAAACTAGAGCAGTGCAAGAGGGTAGAAGATTCAAAGCAACTCAACAGTAGCGTTTTCAGGACCCTACACTAAAAGTCCTCCATAACAAAATCATGTTATTGATAATGTCCTTGCTGACATCGAACAAAATAGAAACAAATGGCTCAGGACACATCTGCATATATTTCGAAACCTGCTGTTGCTCGCAACATTTGGAGCACTTTTGTGAATAATTGAAAAATTTACAGTGCTCTGGTATTACAATTTCTGAGCATCCTTCAATATCAAAGATTGGCCTAAGTGCCTTTAATAGTTTATAGAAAATACGTGCACATAGAAAGTCAAATTTGGCTATTAAGTAAGAAAATGCACATAAAAAAATACTAAAGAATCAAAACATTGTCAAAACATTACACAATGGTTACGAAGCACTGTCTGCAGAAGTACGTCATAAATAATACACAAAACTCGCAACCGGATACTATAAAACTGATATTACACATGCGGTAAATGTTGCAAACAGCCAGCCTAATTCGTTTCCGGACAAATAAAGGAAATAATGCTCGTTTGGTCATACCCCTAGGCACATCCACCGGATAACCAACCTTGGTTTGGATTTCAGAATTTGCACCACTCCCTAGGTCTCCCAGTAGCGATGAAACTGCCCCCTCCCTTTCGATTACAAGTACCTTAAAAATTTTAAAAATTCTTAAATCTATTCCCATTCAATTCAGTCTCAATCGTCATTGGCAGCTACTTTCATTTAGCTGCTAAAAATTTGTTTTTTGAATTTTTCAATTTTTTTTATTACTTGCTAATATTTGTCGTTATATTTCACCATGTATTATAAACATACTGTGTCGTTAAATGAAAAAGGACCAATATCAAACAATTACGATCGAGTGGGTTTAGATCTAACATTGTTCTGTTACGTCACTTCTGCTTGAGTTTACCACTCTTAATCTTCTGGTGTGTTTGGTTGGAAATAGTTAGGGTGTTACATTCCCTACACACACCTACGTCCCTACACCAATTGCCATGCCCACGCATAACAAAATACCAATCTATCGTGTCACCACAAGAAGATAACACAAGAAGATAACACAATTCTGAATAACAAAAAAACAAAATCTTACCGAGTATAGTTTGCATGTGGACCCAGTGAAAGCAGAATTGCCACAATCGCAGCGGAAATTCCTGAAAGGAAATAGACTTTATTTTGAAATCACAGAAGTATGGAAGGTGATACTATTGTTGATGTTTTATGAGCTTCTCGGTTCCTTTCCTGTCGTGAGGCGATAAACAAAAATGCTCATTCATATACCGTAAATCCTTGGACGGGGATGCCTTGGGGTCAAAAGCCCCTAGGAACTTACAAGAGGGTGTTCAAAGCACAACAAAATGACAATGTATCTTCTTGACTTTATAAACAGAAATAAAAAAAATTATTTTCAAAAAAAAGGAACACATTGAGAACTCTATGCCCCATCAGCAACTATTGTTATTTGCTCGGTAGTAAAAACTTTCAAGAGGCAATGCCTTTCTTTATGAATATATATTGCTTTGCAAATAATTGTTTTGAAGAATTAACTAATCGGTTCTTTTCGCTTCGATATTATTGTTAATGTTACGTTGAACGTTTCATATCATTTATAATTTACAGATAATTTAATAAATAACATTCAAAAGGTTTCAATGTAAGGCTTCAAAACGCTTTTTGTGCATAATTCCATTTCTTTCATAACACGCGGATAATGTTGTTATTTTCTTTCATAGCAAATATTGTTTACGATCTGTGCAAAAATTCAAACACTTGCTCCAATCTCTTGAAAAAAGTTGCTGGACAAACAGTCAGCGACCTTTTCAGTTGCTTTCAAATGTGCCGCTGTCCTTGATAGCAAACACAAACTCAATAATACCGGATCAAAACAGATAAAGTTATGCTAAAAATAAAACAGAGGCGATGCGTTTTGCTGCATATCTAAAACCGCTGTAAGCAGCTGTACAAAAAATCATCTAGGTCCTTATAGGATTGCTAGGCTTTACGTTTTATTTACTGACAGTTCAAAAAGTTCTGGAAAACACTTAAAAACTTCGTTAAAAAATTAAAAACAATAGATCTATCCCTGAGTATTGACGTAATAATTCCGTGCAAAAACTAGTGATCCAGTCGATTTGTTTAATGTCTTCTGGTATAGATTACAAAGTAGAGTTGAATAGCTCACTGGAATACAAATTATCTGAGCACTACTTGCTTAATATCGAACATTGCAAACAAATCATAAAACTGATATTGCAAAAACACGAGCAAACCTACGTCACTTCACACAACTGGCAATTTATAAAAACATATACAATATCGCTTTATTTCGGATGAGAAAAAAGCTTTAGGAGATCTTTAGGAAGCTTTGATATCAAGTGCCAGCCTGCATTCTTTGGTTACTGTCTATCCGTTTTTAAGTTCTCTAGACTTCTAACGGAAAATCTAACGAAAAAATTGATGAAAATGATCTTGAATACAGTGGCAAACACTAAATGTTACTTGGCAATAAATGCAAGACAATATTATATAGATCTGTTCTTAAAAATCAATTGGGCATGTATTTTTAGCTCACTTGTAAGTTTATAAATCTTTCTTCCTACAAAACTACCCCCTTTGTAAGAATACCTTAAATTTTGATGAGCCTCAATATTCTTAATTCCTCTTTATTTCGAGTCTCGGATTATTCTTAAATTATTCTTAAGCGACAAAAGGTTTAACTTATTTGCATTATAGCGTTAATGACTCCAAGGGTGGGTACGTCTATTTCATAACATATAGCGTTAAACTCGCATTTGTTTTGCTTTAAAAAACTCAAATAAACAACAATTTAGTTCTTGATGAAGCTAGTGCCTTGCGCTATTCTTGAATAATTCTTAAATTAAACGATTTTGAGCCTTAAAATTCTTATAGGCTATATTCCTATATAAAGTGTGTAGGCATCCTTAGCAGTAGCTGCGATGTTAAAGTCTGTCCATACAGATCACAAACGCATTCATGATCGTTTAAACTGCTGACGAATTGCTGACATGAAATCATCTTTTCTATGAATTGATTGGTTTAAACCAAGCTACATGTACTTTGATTGGCCAAGACCGAGCTACACCCTTTTTAAAGCATAATATATAGAGGCAATTTGAAGACGTGTTTAGTAGAGCAGCAACAAAGCGAAAATGGTGAGCTTATCTAGACTCATTGGAGCCTATTTGTTGCTAATACCCTACGCATTTTTTGCTAATATGTTAAAAAACCATTTATTTATCTTGTACGAGACCAAAGATTGAAAAACCTTTAAAGACTTTCAAAGCTTTGGTGTTTCGGTTTTTAGGCATTGTTTGCAGTGAGGCTTGCTTACAGCTGTTAGTAAATCAATTGGTCGTAAGACGTAAGGGTATGAAATGAGATCAAGAAAACTTCTGTGTGAATGTATAATGCATGAGTGCACCGAGTGACGACCTTGAAATCTGATAACTAACTGATATTTTTGCATGGACGTGATGTTTTGGAGCTCTTTCAACTCTAATTGATGTAATAAAAATCTGAAAAGTTATTGCGCACTGGCTCATACAAAAAAGGAGACCACAAAAACCAGCCACAAAGGTTATATAATCAATGGAAACATTAGTGCTGATAGAAAAAAGTTGCACGTTATTAAAACCCAATTTGAGAATATATTTATGGCCACAGGTTTATGAATGCTTCCTATGAATAGGCCGACATACGAAGAAATGAAAAAATTGAATTAAATTAAAAATACTTGCCTTTTAGTGTAAAGTTCAACTAAATTGTGTCCATCGTGACAATGAAGAGAGCATGCGAAGCAAATACCAGCCGGAGAATCCTCTTCGGGGGCGCACGACAGGCACGAATAGAGAGCTTGACGATTTACGTAGCCCTAAAAAGAAAATTTGGTTAAACTTGTGGCCTCAGTAATGAAATAACTGGAAGAGGTTGGGGGGGGGGGGGGTTACTACCCGTCCAGTCCACTGACATTTGCCTGAGCGACAAGCTAATTCCTACCAAGACAAAATAAAGAAAAAGTATTGTTTAGTTCTTATCTGATCTTGTTTCTACTGCTTGGCCAATTGTCCCAGGCTTCATTTAAATACGACTTTACTATCATGGAACATATGTTTCTAGAACCTTCATATTTTACATAATTTCAAACGTTTCTTGTTAACTTCTTCAACCGTCTTATGCTTTTTCCAAGGCTGCTCTTTTGCAAATTAAATCAAACTACAACTTTTAAGAAATTGACTATCAAAGTTATTATAAAATGTGGGGAAGCTAGCTTCTAGTGAATAGTGATACACTAATTTTGTTTTATAAGAAACATAGCTCAGGATTAGCGCTCAAGATAAAGCCCTGCATGCACAGGATCAAGTATATGTTTTAATAGCATATACATAGGCCAGAAAACAAACACATGTCTATATCTTAAAGGTTTCTGAAATGCTACCCTGGTTGCCAGAGCTTCAGTGAAAGGGTTGGTCGCTGAAAGAGCACATCTGACCACTCAAGATAAAGCATCTGACACATCTGACCACTCAAGTTCGACCATCTCTTTTACTGAGACTCTGGTACCATGATGCTTAAATGCGACATGCTAAAGAGCTTCCTTCTGAAAATTAGCAACGTAACATTAGATAACAAGAAAAATAGCCCTAATCAGTCACAAGGAATCCGTCGAAAAGATTAATTCACTGAGGACAATCAGTTCTATATTTTCTTAATTTTCTGTCATCTTAGGGCTCAGTTTCTTATAAACGATTTCTGATTGAACTAAATAAATGCATTCAGTAGATCCTATGACGTCAGGGACTTTGGCGCCGTTTAACGGGGAAGCTCAAGAAGGGGAAATGGCAGCGTTGAAACCAAGCAAGCAGGAAAACAACAATCACTAATCTTATCAAAACCACGAAGCATTCCCTGCTATGAACGAACAATAAAAGTAAGCGATTTGATCAGAAATCTCGAATATACTGATGTACTTTCTGCTTTCTATTCTAGAAAAGCCTGTGTTTATTAAAAATATGGCGCCAAGTGAAATTTCCAAGAAACCAGAAGGAATCGTTTGGTCAATTTTCTTCGTGAGAATTTTTTGTATAAACAGATCAATGCCCTATTGTATTTGAAGGACAACATCACATGACAGTTAATTGTATGTTTTCTTTATAAACAAAGCAAGGTAGTGAGTTTTGTACTGCAAAGAACACCAGATCCCAGGAACAAAAACATTGACAAGAAGAACACATGAAACGGCGACAACCACGTGTAGCGACGTACGATCACCTGACACTGCATTATCTTAAGTTGATTTATGTTTCTCTGTGTTGTAATTGCTTTGTTAAAGTTCCCATTAGAGAAGTCTAACTTCATTGTCATTTTGAATTGCATTACCAGACCGCATTAGAAAAGTACAAAAAGACTAAAGAGGTTAATACGCGATATTGAATACAAACAGGAAAAGCATTGCGTTGACTTTATTGTGAATTTGGCTTGTACAGGCCTGTATTTTTGGAATCAGGATTGTTTACAAAAGCAGCACTGGTTGAGCGGATTGCTTCAACAACTATCTGCTACTAAAATCCTGATAAATGTTCTGGCAAAATGATTCCCGAAGTCGTTCTGCTCAGAATACTTTGCTGGCTTGCTTGAATCCCCTAAGACCAATCCTTCTTCACAGAGAAGCCCAACGTCCATTATACAACACAGGGAATACATTAGAAACAATTATATATTTCAAAAAATATTAAAAATCTCCTAGCAACCAGCTCCTTCAATGTCTATCATATCGGCAAGATGAGTATTGGCAATCTCCTACTTAAATTTCTGCTGATTTCTGACTTCTAAATTTTTAATTAGTCATCTCTTACTGTTGAATATTAAAACTAGATTGTGCAATTTTGCACCTTCCAACTTGAAACATGGCTCGACAGCTCGATTTTAGTTTATCATGTATTTATCACCCTACAAGTTCTGCTGATGTTAAATCGTTATTGAATAAATATCTGGTGAAGAGATCAGTGGCGGACACTTGGGGGGGGGCGACCGCCTCCCCCCAAGACTTTAGAGGACAATGGTCTTTTGTTCTGAAACAATGAGAAATGTGACATCATTTTATTAAAACAATAGGCTTGCCCCCCCCCCAATATTTGGTCAAGTGTCCGCCCCTGGAAGAGATCATTGTGGTGATGATGACAATGTTGATTTGATTATCTATGTCGCAACAAAGCCTTTAGACAATTTGTTAATATTTATGATGATGATGAGGATGATGAAAAAGTGATCAACGTTACTCCCTCCTCAAAAATGTTGATGCAGTGAGCCCAAAGGAGATTGGCATTTTTCCAAGACCCTTTCTTTGAAATACGCCTGTAATATCACCATTGAATATTGGTCGTGATACATTACGCAGGCGTTGGGGAAACTGATTACTCAATAGTCGCCCACGGCTACTGGGCGAATTTTTCTTCATGACTGCCTATCGCAGCAGCAAATGATGTGTGTATCAAAGTATATCAAAAATGCAAACACCTGTGCCAAAATAACCTAATAACAAAGTAAAAAAGTGTTGAAGATATGGCTGCGAGTAATAACAACATTCCACCTATTTTAGTCAAACTTCCCAGCATGTCCAGGAAACAACCGAAAACAAAGGTTTTTATTGGGTGCAAATATTTTCAAATAATTTTTTGGCTGCTTGCCAATATTAATCGTAGATATTGGACCTGCAAATAACGGAGTTGCTTAACCACACCCTCAAGATTGATCTCCAAAAACAAAACAACAGGATGGGCAATAAAACTTTTGAATGTTTCAGTATAGGATTTGAAAATATTTACAAATTGACACAGAGTGAAATACATTTCTCGTATATAAAAATTATGGCAGTTTTGGGGAATCCAGCCCTCTACCAATTTTAATCATTTAGTGAAATTTGTTTCCCTGGAATTACCCCTCCTACAGTGATATCCTTTGCTTTTTAAGAAAATCTTTAGAAAGGTTCCAACCCCTTGTTCTCGCATAGAAACTTGGGATTTTTGTTAGTTGTCCTTTGAAAACTGGAATTTTTCTGGATTGGGCTTAGGAAAGACTGGCTGGGACATTCCCCCGAATTCATATAAAATGAAGGCACTTGAGTAAAAAGCCTTAGTCATTAGTTTGTAATTAATAACTGGTACATATCCTGTTTTTTACTAATTCAAAATTGTATATCAGACTCATGACACCAGGAGCTTAGCTTGACCTTCCAGAAGGAATGCTATGTGAAGCGAAATGAGCAACATAAGAACTTGTCAGAACTTTTAGACAAAATGTTTCCCTTTTCTTACAAACAAGTATTTTGCTTCTTGTGCAACAGCATGTTTTGCAATTCAAATCGACACCGCAACTTTGTGCATTATTTAAATGCAGATTTTGGCTTTGCTGCTTTTAGGCCCCTTATAGCAAGCCCCCTCAAGAGGCAGATCCAGACTAAGCAACCTATGCAGAAGCATACCTAAGATTTTTACAGCAACAAAACACAAATGGAAACCATGAAGATCTGTAATCAATAGTTTTTGGTAAAATTCTTAAGCAGTCTTGTCCCACCTCCCTTGACACAAACAGCATGAATAAGATATCCATGCATTTTTCGTGCTGACTATTTTCAGTTTCTGCATCGCCTAGTCAGATGGCAGTTCTAGGCATTTACGTATTTTCTGAATATAAGCACCTGACTGTCACCGGAGAGCCAATTGTTACTTTCATGACAATTGCAAACATCTTGAAATTTTGCCCCTGCTGTGGCACGGGCAATCAATAGGGATTTGAGTTGTTTACAGTGGACCTATGCAATAGTTTGTACCAATGAAATGTAGCCAATTTTGTAACCGATGTAACAAAGGAAATGAAACACATTTTTGGGCATTTTGGTAGAACAGCCAGGATGTATTTGCAAAATGAATTAAGAGCTGAGAATTGCTACCTCAGTCCTTTTTTAAACTTGAAGCTAAGTCAGTTAAAAATATCAGTGAGACTATTTCTATTCAGGAAAGTTTAGGGGTTACACAAATTGTTTTTCTTCCTGACAACCTTTGCATAGGTCAGAATTTAGGCTGGACCCAGGTCTGATCTCCACAATGTCACTTTGCCTCTGTAAAAAGGTATTATGATGCAAAAAAATTGGCACAAAAATTAAACCACATTATGCCCCATTATGGCTTACCCCTGTAAATGAGAGTCTACTTGAACAGCGACACTTGTTTCACACAAAAAATAGACTACAAAAGCCAATGCAAACCAAGAAACACTAAAAGTTCTACTAACTCCAAGCTATTAAGATAATTTCCATAGTACAATAATTTTCATCCATCTTTCCACCCACACATTTTCAAAAATCGGATGTAGAATCCACACATAATCTTTATTTTTCTGTTCATGTTCCTGCAAATAATTCACTGTTTAAACTTCTGACTTCTGATAACAAGATAAAACAAGGTATTCATAATCTCCTTGAAATCATTTGGTACATATTCTACACACAATTTTTCTCACAGGTTGGAATACATGTACTTTGTGCCTGAGATATCCAGCAGCTACTTCATAATTTCTTTGACAAACAGGCATAAAAATGTAATGGTGTAAAGGTAGATAGAATTGCTGCTTGTTTTTAGGCTAGCATATGCCTATAAACCAGGGTGCATTCCACGTCAACTGTACACCAAAGGTTCACCCGGGAATTTGTTTAGGTACGCCGAAAATATAAAAGCAGTTAGTAAAACAATAAACATTATTGTGTCAGACAAAGAGGTCTTTATTTTACGTTAACTAGTACGTGGATTCATGTTTAGCATGCCAACTAATGAAAATTTTAAGTACGCCAAAAAATATTTTATTGGTTTGCACCCCAAACGCCGAAAAAAACCTTGGGCCTAAGTACATGGAATGCACCCTGGCCTATAAACAACTGTTGTTGGTGAAAATGATTCATAGTTTCTTTTATGCATTGCATCATACAACTTTTTGGATACAGCATTATGATGTAGAACTTTGGCACAGCTTTATAGTTTTTTGGCCAATATCTGACATGAGATTTACATGGGTTTCACCCTGGTTTCTCATAAAACGTTTGTTATCTGCAAATGTGAAATTAATTGTTTTGGTGTTCTCAGTTTTCTTATTTTATCTTGGTATAGTTTAATACATAGGCCTACTTACATAAATACAAGAGCTCTAGTCTGCAGCGTATCATGTGAGCACACAGAACAGTTTTTCCCAGTGCCGGTCTGCAGAGTATGGCACTTTTCGACGAGATCTCTGGTGTGCACGAGCAAAAAGCCTGGTGTGCCGGTGTGCACCACCAAAAATGTCTGGTGTGCTGGTGTGCACCGACTATTTTCCCCTGTTGTGGTTAAAATTTGTGAATTTGCATTTCACCGTAAAAATGCATGTGAAGTACACTGTTGAAGATTACCCAAGTTTTTATTTGTATATTTGTCAAGTAAGATTCATGATACCTAAAATTGTTCATAAAAAACTGTGCTTGTTTTTATCAGCTGACATTTTCTATGGGACCACACCAAGCCACACCCATCTTAGTTGGCACACCCAAAAATACCTGGTGTGCAACAGGTTTTGCAAAAAAATATCTCCGGTGTGCACATGCCATACTCTGCAGACTGGTCCCAGTGCATACTATAAGGGAAACACCGTACCAAAACTGATAGGATGTTGTACGCAAAGTATCTAGAGACGACGCAGCACTGTACAGCTAAAATTGCAAAAATTTCAAACTCTTCAAGCACAGTTGTACAATCAAATCAAATAAATTAAAAGAATAAAAATTAAATTCTGCATCAAGTTTAGGTTAGGCCTTGCCCTTAAGTTGGTTTGAAATGCCAACAGTTTCACCAAAACTGGGAAATACCTGTGGGTATGTACAGTTCTGATCATCGCTCGCTCCAAGTACAGCAGTGGCTTCATCTTCTAAAGCTTTACCTCCTTCGAGAATATCAACCATCGACAAAATATCAGAACCTCCATCTTTTTCGTCGGCCATGCTTGTATCGCTTCCCGCATAAATCTCTCGCTCGCTCCTGCGCAGTACGACTCTTCCATAGAAACAGGACAATTCAAAATCAATGTTCATTTGAACTACTTACGTATATTTTCATTTTCGTAGTTTGACTTTATGACTTGTTTGTCTCGTTCTTCTTTGGAAAAGCGCTTCTTTATATGTTCCTTTTTACTTTTCTGCATTTACAAATGGAAGGTCTTGCGGTTTGAGGGTCATTGGTAGCAATGAAAACATCAAAATTCAATTCAATTTTCACATTCAAGGACTTCGAAACAGATTACAGATTGAGGGGGCTAGGATTAATTGGCATTAGCCATAAGATTAGCCATAAGTCAAAAACTAATATGGTTAGTCAGAAGTCATTGGTTTCACAAAATTATTAGTCATCAGTCAATTGGCAAATAGTCTGCTAGTTAGCTAGTGGAAATCCCTACTACCCCCTCAACAGAAAACGAATTAATTCAAGTATTGTGCACTTGCTTGAAAAAATTACAAGCTAACCAAAATTACAAGACGTTTTATACTCTGAGGAGTTTCAGACAAAAAGCTTCTAGTATGTTTGAAATCTTTGCTTTTTTCAAAGTCATTTTCAAAGCAAATTATGTTCTTTACAAGTTTTTTCGAAAATCTTGCAGAATTTGCAGATTAGGAAACTTTGCAATCAATCTTTATATTGCTCAACTTAAAGGTGAAGCTAAACTTTTAATAGGAACGTACTTTGGACAATTGATTATTGTAATCAATTCTAGTTCTGTGCAAAGATTAGTTGCCTTTGGAAAGTTTTCATGTTTTTGATTTGAGATTAATAAGTTGGGCAGAGAGTGCACTGGGAAATTTCCTGGTGTCCCTGTGGGACAGTCCGCTTCTGCCCCTGAGGTCCTTGGTCAACCATACTTGATCTTCAATGCTTGAGACCCTCGCCATTTGTTCACATTATCTAAAAACAAAGACTTAGGAACTATGGTCAACAAAATTGTCAGGTTATGGTAGTATTTAAAAACAATTCTTGAATTCTTGACTGTTCAATCTTGGTGCTGTGGAATTGGTTAAATCCTAAAGCCTGTGTCAATCTAAACTTAATCATTGCCTTCAAGTAATTTTCAATTGCCTAAAGGCTTGAACCTGTATTGTACTACTGTTGCATCTTTGGATGATGCAAAAGTATTAGAATTCTCAATGCAAAAAATCAAGACATGGCCCATGAGAGATTGAAAGACATAGACGCAAAGTACAACTCTATCTGCAAGCATCTCTGCACCTTTTCTTCATTGTTTGCTTCAAACACTAATTTTCTTTTTAATCAGAAAGTTAATATTTGCCTTTCCTTGTCAGGTTTTTTCTGACATGTGAAATTTCTGTGCCTTTTTGGGCGTTTATTGATTTGTTTCTTCTTCACTCTTTTTTCTCCCAAGTTATTTCCCCACTGATAAGTCCATAGAAATGATTATCCATTCACCCCATACTTTGTTTAACTACAAATTACTTTGTATGCTGCTAGTCTCTCAGTACAACTGCTAGCCTTTATATGAAAATTTCCTCAACTTCAGTAATGATAGATGGTACAGAATATACCCCTGATAAAAGCAATACAGATAATAAAAAAGAGACACAGGCAAGGTTTTATAAATCTGTTAAATTCTATTACTGTTTTCTTTTTATCTAACTAATAATATATTTACATCTTTAACATATTCACATTATATATACTTCTCAAATATTAAAAATAACACCACACGAAAGAAACGTCAAAAGACTCTAAAAATAATTAAACTGCATAAAGGAAGACTGAATGTGTAAATACATTATTTATTTTTTGGGCAATTGGACGGGAGAGTAGAAAGACATGTTTCATGCTTAAATGAATTTTTTTTAAAAATAGTATAATTCAAAAGCACTTAGCTAATTTTTTTAATAGAAACCTTCCAGTAGAGATAAAATTCATGTTATCAAACATTTTACATTTTACTCTAGAAAAGGTTTGGCATAAATAGCATTGGTAAACCAACATTTATTATATTCATGCAAACTTAACAATAACATGAAATTGAAATGTAACATTAATATGAACAGAACTACAAATATTGTACTTAAATTTAGCCGAAGATACTTCGAATGATAATCCACTGTTACTTTTTATTCGTTAATTTGCATTTAGTGCAAAGTACATAGGCTTTCACACCATCATACAACACAAGGTCCTGCTGTTTCAAGTTTTGGGTCAACATGATAAAAGTTCGGCATACCAAAAGGTAGGAAATCCGATACATCCAGTCTATCGTGGCTGGAATTTAATATCGCCCAAAGTTCTTTTGCAATTATTTGTCGCCTTTTTCCATTTGCTATTACCGTACAGGAAACCCCGCAGTTATTCCATACACTGTGATTTCTAATGTTCTCTTTGTTTGCCTCCAAACCTAACAGCTCAAGTAAAAACTGAGGTATGGTCATGTCAAGTTCGCTTGCCACTGTGATTATTGCATCAGACAGTTTCATCATCTCTACAGCTTTAAACAGGTTATCCCTGCCAATGAATTCTCTTGCATCAGACAGGCTTTCGCACTTGGCAAGTGGCAGCAAGGAAAGATCTAGAAGAAAAACAACAGGTAATCACAATAAAGAATTCTCCGAGAAAAACCCTTACGAAGGGGAATCACCTTGCGACCCAGTCCACAAAACCGTTTGCAAAACATCTCGAATTTCGCTTTTGTTCGACAAAAAAGTTGCACAAAAGCACTGATGCTGTCTTCAAAATGTTGTTAAGTTAAGGCAACATTTAACTTCTTTCATTGAATTTCCGAATAAACATTAAATTCGAGGGAATATTTAACACTTTGCAGCGTGAGGTCTCTGGTAAAACTATCGGTGGCAAGTTTTTAAGCAAAAATGTTAACGGAATTCCCCAACAAAAGAAAAATCGAAGTGTTTCGTGAAACATTTGTTCTTTAAACAGCTTGAAAGAGCTATTAAAGTTTCTCAAGATGTAAAATACAGGAATTTCTCTGCTGGTTCCGCTGGAAAGGAACATTGACTTCTTCTTATGACCTTTTTGACATAAATTTGTTGTTGGTGCCTTAACATTAAATATCAAGTCAGCGGGTCTTGTGTTATTCAAGTAGCTGCATTGAACAACAGTAGCTCTGTTGAACAACAGCCAACACATGACGCCGAAATTTTTAAGCAGCATTTACTATCTTTTCAACGTTATAGCACCTATGAAAAATATAGCACTAGAACTTTCGCGACCAGCTAAGTAACATTTCAGATGCATCCCAGTCAAAGTTACTGACTCCTGAAAACGTTTTCGCAAAAAACTATGGAAGGGTTCATAAACAATATATTATGTAGATATGCAATTCAGAAAATTTTACAAGAATTTTATAAACTCCAACTTACCGAAAAGGGTGACTTCATGTCCTCTTGCACGTAGTTGCCTCATAACATGAAGACCGTCCGTTCTTTCGGTGCCGTCGGAACAGCCAGAAATCAAAAATACTTTCATTTTGAGTCCTTGTTGGAAATACTGGAAATCCTTAAGAGTTCAGAACTTTACAGCTTCGTAACTTGTTCAGTATCTCTTCCAGCCTGTCTCAACAGTATACTCTCACCTCTCTTCGATAACCCTAGACTGAAATGAAAACATTTGAGCAAGATTTTAATATTTATCATCAGCTGAGATCGTCTTGTTGATTCTTTAACAAACTAGCCAATCCGAGAGGTCCCAATTGTCCTTTCAGCCAATCAAAACTGTCATTTGTTGTCAATTTTCTCAAAAAGCCAATCAGACGCGTTTTGCGAAAACCAACCAATGATGGACGTCCAAAATCACTTCGATTCACAGATCGTAAACAGGAGGTATAGGATATCGTATATACTGTCAATAAACTACATCCAAAATTTAAAATTACCAATCAAAAATTTGATTTAACTTCATTAAATGGTTAATAAAACGTTGCTCAAACAATCTTTCAACGTTGTTTCGATTTTTTTTGTTAGGCTAAGCAAAAATATGCGTAATTTGACCCAACGTAAAGTGACGATCCCCCCTGCTTAGCTAGATACGTCATTCGTGTTTATGTGGAGCCAATTCGAAGAGAAAAGTCACGAGTATTCCACAGGGTGATGAAATATTGCCACGGATTTATTAATTTGGGGTGTCAAACTTTACTGAAATAATTATATATTGTGGATTTGGACAAAACTTTATCCCGTCACAAATAAGTAGACTTTTTAAAAGAAGTTCACTCAATCGTCAACTTATTTTTTTATCCAAGGCATGTCAGGGCACAGCCTATTGTTATTCTTCGAACAATACTTCTTGGGCTTTGTTTCTAGATTTTTCTCGAACAAAATGATGTCAACTTACATCATCCGCACAAAAGACGGCACGCGCCCCCGTAGAAACCCAGCGTTCCTTTCGAATAAATAAATTCGCTAACTTCAAGCTTCTCGACAAGTTCACACAAGTGATTAAAAAACATTCGTTTCCTTGCTTGGCATGCCTGATTCCGCACGCTGGTGATGACCCTTGGCACTTCTCAGGTGAAAGGCAGGCACCTCAGGGCTTTGCAGGCTATTTTAAGGCAATCGCTCTTATCGCTGTTGGTTGCAAAGCAAACTAAATTTAGATATCCCGGAGAAAAGTATCGACTTGCTGCCGAGTGAAATTTATTGTTACGAAATTTCATTAAGCTTCCCTAGCAATCTTTTCATTCTTATTGCCGTCGCTCAAAAGATTCGAGAAGTTATTATATGCTACTTTCTCCACAAACTACACTCGCATTCTCGCATATTTGTGACCCATTTTTCAGCAGAAGCATGTGATAACAAAGAATTGCATTACTGACAAATCTCATTTTATTAACCGAGGTTTCTACTGAAGAGCTGGCGACGTTAGCCTGATAACCAGTCAATTTATTTTAAAGAATAATCCTCTAGAAAAATGAGCTGGGGCTATCAGATTAGGGTGACGTTTCCCTGAAACAATACCAGTTTTGGGAAAAAATAAGAATACTTTAATACTATATTAGGCTCAAAACGATTTTTTTTAAGAATTTTGCGGCTGGACAAAATTTATAGTGTTCGTATAAAAATAAGTGTATCAATTCTTGTTTTTTTATTTATCAGTTGAAATTATACCTTCACGTTAGAAAATAAAAACAGACGTTATAGAGTTAGTCACATAAAATTAGGATTTACAATTAGGGAGAACTGTGTTGGTTTGAAAAATAATAGGCAATATTTTTACAGTAACGATTTTAAAAATGCTTTTTAAAAAATATCGGTGGCTAGTAACAGAAGCCCCTAAATTTCAGTAAAGAGTTCTATTTTCGGATATGACGTCAACCGAGATTGTTTATTGGACTGTTCGGGGATTGGTAATTACGATAATGTTGTGAGTATGATTTAATTATTTTCTTTTTTCACAGGGCCAATTGTCGACCAGGTTTTCAACACTGTTTAAATAAATTTAAAATGAAATGATATGAGAAATGGCTCTGGGGAGATGTATGATTGCAAATGTGGGAGGTCAAAATCACCCCAAGTGGGTATTTCTTCACATTAATTGAAAGGCAAGGACGTAACGCATTTTGCAAAACAAACAGAATTCACAAGGAAACAATGCCTTAGTGTGACCGGCATTTTTTGGAGGACAAAAAGATTTAATTTTTTGACACATTTCTTAAATTAATAAAAATAGCATAAATTCAGTCTGAAATACTTGAATTTCCTTCCCGGAAGCAGAGCGGGCATTTCGCGCTGCACCCTGGGTATAAAAACCCATATGTTGCAAACATGACGCAAATATTCCCAAATATTTTCCTAAATTTTAGTAAATAATCTTTAAAAGTTTAATATCCAGTCGAAACGTGCGGAGATACTTTCGAAGCATATTTCGATTTAATAGTTTCGTACAGGGGTGTAGATCTAGGGGGCTGAGCCCCCTTGTTGATGCCGAAAATGGGCAAATCTTTACTTTTACTATACTTTTTCGCAACATTTTGGGCAAGAGCCCCTCTTGTTACTTTGATAGCACTTCACCACTGGTTTCGTATAACAACTGCTTCAAAAAGGTATTAAATAAGTTTTAAAAAATTATTAGTCAATTTCTTTGAAGGATGATTGTGTTGATGAGTGATAATCGATAGAAAGCTCGTGAAATGACAAAAAATTGCCATAAATATGCCTGTTCTCTGAAAGATCGTAAGATACTCATAGTCTATTTTATTATCCTTTATACTTTTTGATAGAATTTTTGCCCATAAAGTTGCCATTTTCGCCGTTTGTTTCGCTCCAATCGTGTGCAGTCATCTATCTGTTTTTTTATATTTAAAGATTTGACGCAATGCATTTCCACGAAGCCACAAATGAGAAAACTATAGAGTATGAAGTCACGTTTTCCAGAAATTCCAGGAAGTATACTCTTAAAGAAACCATGACATTGGGGTTTTGAGTAATAAAGAAATCCTCACACTTGTCGAAACTTCTCGAAATATGTAAACGTTGAAAAACCAAATAAACATTTGTTGGCAACATGTAGTACATGTACATACAAGGTATGTAGTTGGCAGCTCGAGATTGATATGTTGAAAAAACGAATGCCGTTAATAATCGGTAGAGCATTAAGTTTAGTTCTTTCTTTATCTGTATTGTTATAAAATGACAAAGTGACGTATCAAAAATATATTTTCACAGTTTTAGAATTCTGACGGCATAACCTGAAAGAGCACCTTGAAATACCTCATGCAAATCAGTGGAATTTGTTGCAAATCGAGACCGAGATATTGCCACATAAACATGGACTATTTCCCAATCAAACATTGTAAATGGCCATGGTCATGGTTTAATATGCTATCTATTTTCCACATGAATGACTCCATAGACAAACAGCGAATCTTTAGCACAAATGGAAAATATGGGGTTCGATTATGGTTGTGGTATTGGGTGTGGCTTGTAGAAGTCGCCTACAGCACAACCCCTCTTTCTAACTTTTAAGGACGGCATCCACTGCAATGATCTATAAACAAAACCAAGATATGGTAATTTCTCAACCAATCTTGAACAGAACAACTGTTTTTGCATATATTGGTGGTAATTGGCAGTGCCTTTTCAGCTTATGAGGCCAGAATTTTAAAATTCTAAAATAATTTTTTTTGATAACGTCACTTTGCTATTCTATTGAACAGGGGAAAAACTGCAAACAAAAATTCTGAGAAAAATTTGATAGGTCAGGCTTGAAGGTTGCACAGAACGTAATCTTAACAATTCTATCATAATTCTTGCCTGGACATTTTGTACCTCGAAAAAGGTTTAACCATGTTGTAAGTGACCTTAAATTTCAGAATTGAGCGAAAGGCGACCAGGGAGAAACAGATTTGTTTATGAATAGAAGGGCAGCCGAATCACAACATCATACTCAATCGAATTCAGGGTAATTAATGAAAGATGACGTAATGAATAGTCATTTGTGGCGACCATGAATATCAGACTTTCTATTAATGTTTGATGTTTATCCTTTAATTGCAATGATTACACCCAAGGGATTGTGGCTGGACAATGAATCGGGCGGTTAATTTCAATAGCAGCCAATTGGCTCGATTTACCCATATAAGGCGAAAATTCATATTATTCACTGATACCAGCTAGGAATATGTTAAAAACAAAATGCAAAAACATTAGACATTAGAAATTAATGCCAATAAACGTCTGCAGCTTCGTATGTTATCAAAAATAAGCTTTTGCGGTCTTTTTCTCATTCACGAGTTTATAACTTTTGAAGGTCTCCGTAATCAATGGAAGACACAGGACCAAAGCTCATTGATATTTTTGAATGCCGAAGGCCAAGCGAAAGCCATGCTCAAATATGGCCTCGCTACTATCAAGATATTAATCTCCAAAAATAATGAAACTTAAACCATGTTAAGGCATGGCCCAGTTATAAATTAAAAACCTTTTTATTATCAAACGTTATCAAAGAGAGATTAAAAACAAACAGCAAACACTATTAATCCTATTATTGTTTAGATGAAAGAATATTTAATTTTCGTTTTATTGAACAAGATCTGTCGAATGTTTGAACGCATTGGCGTTGGACCAAGTTAGCAGAGTGGGCCATATTTGGGCCAATCGAGCTGAGTCTCAAAGTGACGGCCTAATTCATCTGAGTGAAATACCTCGTGCTGTTTTAGTAGCAAAATATATTGTGATACATTTCTTTCTTGTTCCCCTGAAACCATATTAGGTTTGAAAAAATACGAATACTTTGAAAATACATTCGGCTCAACACGAAAATTTCTTAAGAATATTGAGGCTGGGCAAAATTTATAGTATTATTCTAAAATATTAGTGTAAATTTGTGAGTCAAATGTGTGAAACTACTGACCTCGCAAAAGAGTATTAAAAATCTAGAAAAACTGAATCATTTACCAAAACAAACGTTTTTCAACATTAGGAATCAAAATTTTTTATGCTTGCTTTTATCTTCTGTTTACATCCAACTTTTTAAACCCAAGAGTGGAGCAGTTAACATATTGACAGTTTCTTGCTTGCAAATGACGTCATCCACCTTCTTATCAATATTCCAAAGCCAAGGTTACCCATATTTTTACAGTTGTTACTAATATTGCTTCGCTAAAGCTTCCTTTATTATCATTTGCGGCTAACCTTACTCGACATGCTTAAGAGTGAAGTAAGACATTATTAGGATTCTGTTTCGTATAATTACATCAAAGCAAGAACATTGTCTCATTATGGCGATCCTACGTAGCGTAAATGAATATGGCAAGGGTATCTTAGCAAAACAGTTACCTAACAAGAATGTTCCATGTTAATTACAAATAATGAAAATTGAAGTAAACCGTCACCACAAAGTATGTCATATTATTGAAGAAGATTAAAAAATAAATAAGCTGGTAGTTCGTATTGACCAGTGTGTCAAAACACTTATAATGCGCTTCTCAATAATTCTATTGAACAATAGGCTATACTGTAAAATACACATGTTCATAAAAGGTTCACCAGTAGGAAAGCAAGGCTGCTTACGCAAACAGTAGAGCTGGTGGCAGAGGTCATCTGCTATAGTTGAATCTGGCACGAATATTGTGTCGTGCTGTCTGACACACGTCTACAAGGAGGATCAGCAGCTATATAAGATACCATGTGGTGCATACTTGTATTGTGCGGTAAAAATAAATGATATGGGAAGGAATTAAGGATGTATTAGACAAGGAAATCATGGAGTTTGAGAGATAATGTTTCTAGGGTTAATGTTTACAGAAATTTTTTAGCTTGGGTCCATCATTATTACTTTCCCGTTTTCATGCAGCAATGTGACGTCACTGCATATTACCACCAGAACTTTAGAGGCGTAAATATTATTATTAGCCAAGGAAAATATAAAAAATAAGCTATCATTTCTTGTGTTCACTGTATTTGATAGTCCTTTCGAATAATTCCCCATTTCAAGTAGTCTGCGTTAGAGATGAACATGCGGCCTATCTCAGTAGTGGCCTATTTCATCGAAATTGCGGCCCATTTCTTCTTTTAATTGCAAATTACCAAACTAAAAGGAGGAAAGACGATTAAAGAAAGATGAGGTCGCTGCCGGTTAAAACCCATGCAATTTTTGTTGTCTTTTTGTCATGACTATTCTTACATAGAAAGGGTGGTGGTCAAAAAGGAAGGAAGCTTCCCACCTTGAAAATCCAGCGCTGTTTGCTCTCTGATTTCTGTAACCAGCTTAAAAAGTAAGGCCACAGATTCCACACTATTACATCACATTGTGAATGTAAGTTATAATCCCTTTTTTATCTTGGATACACCCTACACAATAACCGCTATGTCACAGCCAAAGAAATTCTTACGTTGTAATTCTGTTTTCGACGTGAAAAAGCCGATATTTTTTTGTAAGCTTGGAGTAATTTGCACAAAATTCGGAGGGCTTAGGCTATTTGCAGAGAATTGATCAAGCCTATTTCTAAAGAGAGTGACTTAAATACCTGCTCAACTATAGTGGTAGGAGGGGGAGCAGGGGACATGTGCCAACACATTTTCAGAAGCATTCAATTGCCCATTTGCTGCTCCTGGAGGTGTCCCTTTTTTCCAAGATGTGTTTCCCTCCATTTTTATAATGCTTTTTACGTTTATGTTCCCAATAATTACAATACCTCTGAGCTGGTAAGGACTTTCAGGGCGCATTCCTACTTTTTTGGTAAGCAAAAATATTTCAAGAGGGGCACTAAATTAAAGTTTGATTTATAAAACTTGGGCTCTCCACATTGAACTTCCTGGCGTGGGCCCTGACTTTATACAGCGAAGATTTCACAAAATCAAAAAAAATCTCACGAAACGAAAAATCGCCCTTCAAATGAAAATTGCAAAAAAACCATGCAAAATATGTTTGATTTTCAAACTTGAAAACGCATTTTTTAAACTTGAAGCTGCAAACTGTTAAAGTGGATACGACCAATGAATGGTAAAATACATTCCTATAATGTTGCCTTCACTTTCTGCTACGAAACGATGATAATCACTTTCGACCTTACCAAATGACAGTATTATTGCTTTAAACTTATTTTAAGTGTTGAAAGATTAGTTACAAGTTTCATATTAACTTTCTTAATGCTTGATTGACAATAATTAGTGGCCATATAGGCAAAAGGGTAAAGGTTTGGAGTTTGACCCTTGATAGTCTTATACAATAGTGTCCCGCATATAAGAAACATTAGTTTAAGAAACACAGACCCTGGTTTTACTTCTATTCAAACAATTATATATACATTAAACACTTTGAAAAATATAACCACAAACACTTGATAAAATAACAAAGAAACAGTTGAATCCTGTTCAGCCCTACCCCGGATTATTCGGACTTTCGGTAGGAAGACCATTTCCTTGAAAGTCCGTTTATATGGCACATTCTTGACTCGAAGGGATATCACAGGGAGAAATGTCAAGTAACCACAGCCAAGAAGATCATGCTGATACCCAACCAGGCTACAAGTGGATACATTGTTCGCGGAAAATTTTTGAAATTTCATTTTCAGGTGGGAAAAATTCTCAGGAGGCTGTATGAATTCGAGGCTGGGATTACGCCAACAAATGTCAATGTACTTCGTTGCCTCAGGAGAATTGCATAGCTGTGAAAATTGCAAAGAATTCTGTTGATATCGGAGAAAGATGGGGGTGTTGGACATCCCAGCACATCGAAGATTGATTAGAGAAGCAATTGCATTTGACAACTCGCATGTGTAAGTAACCAATATTGTATTTCCCATGTCTCAAATGAACAGCTGCAGATGGCCTGAGCAAGTTGATTGACTGAGTTAGCCGTGATTTTGGGCGTGCAAAATGCTCGTAAAGTGACAAACTTCCTTTAATTGCTATCTTGAAATCTCCGTGGTGCATGTACTATACGTATATAGGTACATGGCTACCGATTGTTGGCAAGAAATTTTAAACCCTAATTAAATAACTCGTAAGACACTTTCCTCTTACTCCCTAATAGTCTTATCTTCCTGTTTGTATTTGTAGACAAGAATAAAAACATATCCACCATGATCTGCAAACAAGAACCTGGTTGCCAGTATGGCAGCTGCACTCTCGAGGAGTGTTTTTGAAACTATACTCTTGAACACCCTCTTGTGGGCGTGGTTTTGGCTTGGTTTTGGGTGTTGCTCAAATCAAAAAGTTTTTCAAATATTGCAAAATGACTTTCTAAATTTGTTCCCAACTTAGATTGGAAAAAAGTGTGTGATTCTAGAAAGGGTGATCCTTTTGAAATCAGGGCTGCCTACAGTGCTAAATTGTCTCTGTTCCACAGTGCTAGTGTAAAGAGAAGAGCAAACCCCAACAGTTTTGTCAAGGTTCCAGATTTGCACGAGACAGTGTAAATGTGTTGTAAACAAGGCCTTTTGCAAGCGAATGGAGCAGAAAATTTTTCTGATCCTCTTCTAAATGATTGCAAAAATTATTCTGAAATGTATTTTAAGCTACACATCAGAATTATTTTACTATTTTATTAGCCTGAGTTCCAGACCCCAAATAAAAGTATTGAGTCAAATGTGCACACTTATCATTAATGCACTCTTGCAGTCCCAGTTAATAGCTTGTGCACTCCTGAGATCTCGTAAAAACTGCCATGCAATCCAGGCCGGCCTGGTTGCTTGGACCATTAAAAATAAAGTGTTGTGAAAGCAAGTGAAACTATAGCAAGTGAAAAAAATATAGCAAGTGAAACAGAGGCCAAAGCAATTTGTAATGGGATAATGGGCTAACTAATGGCTCTAAACAATTTCTAGGATAAAAAACAAATCTGGAGGAACATTATGATTGTAATTAGCAAAATTTATCCAAGGTCCCAGTCCTATTAACCTTGAGAGGGTTTTAAGGAACACCAGGGACCAGATTGCAATCAGCTAGGGCTGTAGAAAACCCGGTCATCTTGATTTTGTGGGCCAGGCAGTAAATCCCTTCTTAAGAAATTAAAGAGGATGCACATCTTAGGCAACCTGTCTTGACTACCTTGTACAGCCTTAAACTGAGACATGGAAAGAGCCTCTTTTCCTGTTGTAGGGGTAGTTAGTTTCAATTAGTCAGAAAAGCACCTGTATATTGTGGTAGATAGGCAGCTTATCAGCTAGGAACATTTGAGATAGATTTTGGAGTGTTGCATGCAATCCTTTATTCAAGATCATGAAAAGACAACTTCAATTCGTTGTTCAGCCCCTGTACTTTTAGACTGGACAAAGTTCCTTGGGCAAAAACACAATATCCACATAACATGATGGCTTTTGAGTGTAAAACATGAATTTTAAATTTTCCTTAAAATCTTTGTTGTAATAATTGACTGAATTTACAATACCATAACCACAATAAAAAACCAATTAATCATTGTGTCAATCATTAATTTCCCAAACAAAGTTTTATCTTGAATATTTTCAGTTTTTAATTTTGGGCATTCAACCCACCAAATGTTGCTTACCAGAATGTTGCACAGATTGATGCATGATGGGGTGCAAATAGGCCGTAATGTATATTACATAAGCATTTATTTGTCTCAAACATTTCCAAGCACCTCTATTGAGGATAATAGTTCAAAACGTTTCTTTATGCTTTAGCCACAGTGAAGAATATCACAGTGATGAAAATATTGAACAGCATGCTGCTGCAAATGGGAGGCCACGCAGGCAGAGGACTCCTAAGCTTGGTAGAAAAGTCTTTGGCTCTCATGAAGTGAAGAGGGGCAATGGTGTTAGAAGACAAAGAAGGAATGAAAATTGTAAGCAAACTGTTTATGCTATGCAGCATCAAAAGTTTTATAATAATCTTTGTTTGGTGTTGGCTTTAGTTTCAAAACATTCCTAAAAGTTTACTGTTGTCTACTTTAGATTCCAAATAAGTTTCTTTCTAGCCAATTCTAACAATTATTGAATTTTACATTGAAAGGAATTTTGCTTTCAATGCCGGTTATTAGTTTAATTGGCATACATAATTAGCCACAATAATGAAAAATGAATATGAAAAGAAAGATGATATGATTTCAAAAAACTCAAAGCTGTAATTTTTTGTTTTTCAAATGACTTCACTTTTCTCCATTTATAGTATATTACCTTTTAATATTTTACTTTTATATTCATTTAGAGTATAAAATTGTATATGCTCTATTATAACATGTATATGTATATTGTAATATGTATATGCTCTATTTTTGCAGTGTTTTTCTTATATTCATTGGTTGATGGAGTCGACCCAGATGAGTTGCAAGATGAAGATGATATGAGAATGACTGCCTTTGGAGAGCTTTTTGCAGATCCAACAAAAATGAGGGTAAATCTTTTTGTTGGCTTATGCTTGAAAAACTGCATGGATAGGAACAGCCTGTACACAGACCAAATATCCTGAGGAAGAATATTGTCCCCACTTGCAGGAAAGACAAAGGGGTGCTTCTCTTTATCTAGACATTCAATAAAACACTGACAAAGGAGTTTAGAAGTATCCCCAAACCTCACCCCTTTTATTGCTAATCATGCAGAGATGCCTCAATTTTTTGTCCCAGTGACCTTCAAACCCACAAAAAGAAGTTCTGAACACAGTTTGTGAGCATAAAAAAGCAATGTCCAAACATATTTAGATGATACCTACCATTTAACTGTCCACTTTATATATTGCAAAAGTAAAACTTTGCTGTATTAATGTTGACTTCTGATAGGCATGGGCTGAGTTTATGGTGATGACAGAAGAGGACCAGATATCTTTCCTAGATGCATCTAATAAAAGTAGAAGTAACAGAAATAATGACGATGGAACTGAGGAATCTCATCTAGAGAAAGGTAAAAGATAACATACATAGGTCCTGTCTGCCAAATTTTCGGTATATTTTTACCTTCATAAGTTTAACAGAGAAAGACTTGACAACATGCTTGATTTTTTGTACCGTAACATCCAAGATATTATTTTAGCTATGCTTCCATACTTTGACAGATTATGCAATTTAAATTATCTCATCAAAAAATAACTGAATTACCCTCCCCTCCAAAAAAGCACCCTTGGTGCATATTCAATACACCAATTCTTTAAAGTTGCTCATTACAGAGGATTTCAAACAACAAATGTTTTCTTATTTGATATGCAAGAGGAAATTAAAGAAATGATATATGACATTTCATATCCATGAATAAAATTATTTAAATAAACATCATTTTGTTAGCTAATGTTAGCTATCCTTTTGTGAAAAACTAAACCAATTTTTCTTTCTGAATGAGATAAGGAACATTTCCATTGGATAAAGCCACACTTGATGAAATTTTTTAGGATTGAGATTTCTCATTGGTATCTTTTCTCTGCAGACTTTGAATGGGAGAATCAAAATTTTGTGAAAATTAACAAAAACATTCGAGACTTTCTGCGAAGTGAGGATCTTTCAAAGGTGATCAAAGTATTTTTATGAATTATCTTTGTATGTTTTTTAACCTTTGTATCTGTACTGTTCAATCTGATTTCGATATATTGAAATATTGACTTTGATTCAATCTATTCTAGGAATCTCTAGCTGAATATGAAGAAGACTTGATAACTTCATTTTTTGAATCTGCATTTGATGTGCTTGTTTTGGATGTCCCATCAAGGTAATCCCTTATCAGATGGTTTCTTAAGCTGAAGTTGATTGTGAATCTGATCAAATATAAGTAACTAGTTTATAAACCAATTGAAACCGCTAACCTTTAAAATATTTTACTGTGTTGCTTTTCCACAGAAGGCTTTATCATCTGAAAAAAGAAGAAATAAAAAAGTTTGTGGTAATTTAGAAATGCATTGAATGCATTCATCAAACTATAGGTAGTTTCTTTGGTGCTGCAAAATTTGGTAGAAAAGGTTTCAAATAGAGTTAAGACCCACATATAAGAAACTCACTTATAAAAAACCTTACGGCTAAATTTGTCAAAGACTGCTGAAATATAAGAAAGATATAAGAAACTGCTGAGCTTAAATTTTCTAGTTTCTTTCAAGTGCTTGTGTAGAGCAAAGGCTTGTAAAATAGAATAAATTTAAGAAGAAGTTTACCAAAAATAAACTAGAAAACAGTTTTTTTGATCTAAAACAGTCATTAATTTTTGCCAAAATGTATAAATTGCCATTCTTGTTAATTGGGTTGAAGCAATCATATGAAAATTCTTGCCAAATTGCTTGTTTTTCCTGTAATGGGAGGTAATGTTTTTTAAGCATTTGTCCTGAAAGGTGAGATCACTGCCTAAGGGCCAGCCCAGTTTACTAAGATCTATACAAAGTACAAGTAAATGACTAAGAATGGATTTTTTCTTTTTAAGCTTTGATAGGATGATGATTCATGGCCTTTGTCAGTACATGCAACTGCAAGCTTCAAGTATGTATCTTAAGCTGTATCATATTTATTTCTAAGACTTCCATTCATTCATTCCTTCAGATCTGAAATAAAGTTTACTTTTTTCTAATTAAATGATATTGAGAATTTTGATTTTACACAATGTAATTGGCAGCCAATATAACTAATTTTAATGTACAAATTTTAGAAGTTAATAGGGTAAGATAAAACCAGGCAAATAAATATTGGAATGACCTAAATATTAGTAAAGGAATGATTTACTAGCTTTTTCTAAAGTTAGCCAAAGCTCTCTAATTTTGTGTCTTATTAGGTAAGTGTTTTCAAGTGCTTTACTGGTATGAGTTCTTGCTGGAAACAATAACAGTATACAATATTTGATTTTCTTATTCTTATTTCGTATACAAATTGTTAGGAATTTCTTATTTTCAATCCAGCTTCTTTTTTAGCACATAAGTTCAAGAAAAAACGTCTCATGGAGATTGAAAATCAGGCTTCTCCACTCACACTGCCAAGTCAATTACTATCAAGCTATTTAAATACAATCCACAAGTAAATTGCAGTTTAATGCATTATTTCGACATAATGATTCTAGTATATTTTCCATGTAATGAGTAACTATACCAGAATTTTCTTTTAAAAGATCCCTGATTTGTTTGAATTTCTTTGCATGTGAATTCTTCCTTGTTTAGGATTTATATTTTTGATAATCCTCTTAATCCATTTTCAAACGAATCGAGGTTTGACATTGCTCTTACATTGAGTAAGCCTGTTGGACTATTCAATTCAATTTTTTCATATAATGCTTCCTAAATATACAGCTGTACCCCATGAAAAACAAAAGTTATCAAGCATGGGCCTCTAATAATAAAGAAACAGTAAGCTGAAATCATTACATACAAGCTACAGGCAGCATTCAGATCTTTACTTGCAACTGACAGCGCCACAAGTGGTGGGTGACGCCGAAGAAGTGGCGGAAATCGAGTTTTACGAGTAGCAAGGCAATTTCTTGTTTGAGCCGCCGTTTTCTTCTAAAAAATGACTGACTTTCGTAGAAGATTGTCCAAGCCATAATGAATTGGCGGGGCTTGGAACGGTTCGCCTATTCCACAGGTTATGGAATTCCGACTCTGTTTTGGAGCCCCCTCTGTCCAGGGCCGGCGAAAGGTATTTTAAACTGGGAGTGCCAAAGGATTTTAAAAAAGATTTAAAAAAAACACACATTGCTAGAAACCAAAATGGGAGGAAGGGAACAGGAAAAGAGAAGAGCGTTGAAGAGTCTCCCAACAATCACGATAAGCCCCACCCAAACGCTTAATTACCCTCATCAGAGCAAAGGGACCAACAACGCCGTGTAGAAACCCAAAATACAGAACTCCTGCTGCCCTATATCCCAAATGTATCGACAAGTGCACACAAGGACCAATTACTAGAATGAAACCATGATAAATGACACCCAAAGGGGGAAAGACAATTCGGATAAAAGTAAAACCCCTAGCAAATCAAATTCTACAACATCCTACGTGAAATTAACTATGATAAAATTTCATTTTATCCGCATTTAATGAAGCTTAGTTTAGCAATAAAAAATGAACACAAGTATAAATTTTCTTCCTGGCAGTTCCCTTGCACTTAATAGCTTGTACTCCCTCTATCCGTAACAAGTTTGTCTGTTAACAAACAGACTTTGTGGACCAGGTTAAGGCTAAAGAAAAAAAACAAAACTCCTGCACAAAATTATTCTGGCTTTGGTTTTGCACATTGATCTAAATCATAAATCCAAGGTCCCACAATGGTTTTGATAATCAATTTTTCAAAAACTGCTGCTTCTAGAGTGCAACGTGTAAGGCACAACTTGGATAATGATTCGATTCCTTCGATCAATTTCCCATCACTCTTATTAAAATGTTAAATTCTGGTCAATGTTCTAATCAATATTTAAATGGTAAAGCAGAATGGTAAATTACAGTTCTTTTTACATTTGCCTAATAATTTTGCTTTGTTCTGCAGAAAAGTGGGGGCATGGCCCCCGGCTCCCCGTTTCGCCGGCCCTGTCTGTCTCTATTTTAGATCCCTTTTTTTCTAGTTCTTCATTAAGACGTTTCTGGAAAGGAAAACGCAATGAATGCGTGTGCCATGAAATAAAAGTTTTTGCCAAGGGGGGGCATGGTCCCCCGCGCCCCCTTCGTCAGATGCCTTGGTGATAAGTTTGTTACTAAACATAACAGGACGTGTTTTAGTTTTCTGGCAACATTATTATTTTCCTTTTCATAATCATCTCCTAATTTTATTTCACTTTTCATGAAACAAATTACATCAACTTCTTAATATCCTAATTGTGTTTGTAATCTTAACTGGTAACAAGATCTGGTTTGTAGGGAAAGGTAAGTAGGTGCATGTATGGATACCGAAAAGAGACATCCCATTCTTTTCTATAGTTGGCCCCTCTTATATACGATATTAAGCCGGTTTTGGTAATATAGTCGCAAAGCATGCTGGTTGCGCAAGAGCCTTTAAAAACAGCAGTCACTTATTATGACCTTGATTTTTTCTGAAGTAATGTATCAATTAAGAACCTCTTAACAAGGAATGGAAAGAAATAACTTCGATATTAATGCTCATGTAATTGATTTCTGAATATCAGCTACAAACAGATTGACATATAAAATATTTAATAAACTTCATACAAAATGTAAAATGCAAACATATTGCTTAAAATTGCAAGGGAAAATGATATTCTCTGAAATACTTATTTCTTAGAACATATGGATGGAAAAATTAGCTTTGCAATAAGAATGATTTTTTCATTCTGCGAACGGAAGCAATTGATATATCTATACTATAACATTACGTTATTTTGGCAAGCGATGCAATGGCTGATAAATTTTCTGATGAAAGATTGAAAGCAGGGGGTTTTATAAAATGCTTTAAATGGATAGGTTTACATTCCAAAGTGACAAGTACAAATTGTAAAAAAGTTTAAAAAACAATCGCAAAACACAACGAGAAAAACAGCAAAATAAAAAATGCACGAAATCTAAAAATCGTGAAAAAATTTAAGCCATGATATGCGTATTTTGTTTTAAAGGATCAGTTCAGCATTTGACTGTATTGTCAGTGAGGCACTTGAAGCCATGCCAAGAGCCAACGCATCTCCTGCAAGTCGTCTCAACATCTCTTGCATCATTGATCATTGCATCGGCAAGTGCAGCGGTGAAGACTTTTTCAGTTGATTTTGACAGCTTGTTGGCGAAAAGCCCTCCACTTCTCTGAATGTATCGGGTGAAGGGTGTCTTGGGCAATGGCCTAGAAAGTGGTTCGATTTTCAGTGTTGGCGTCATGTACACATTCTTCCTGGTGATTCCGATGGCACTGAAAATTCCTCTTTGGAAGTCTTTGAAGTTGAAGTCATTGAACACAAACAGCGATGCATTAGCTTCGTATTTAAGTGCAAATTTCGTTTCGTCAGTTGTAGGACCGAACCAGGACGGAATGTATGTGTCAAATTTGAACAAGATTACCATCCTTGCTGCGTCTGGTCTGAACGGCTGCCTGGTGGCTTGTAAAATGGCTTCATGGTAATCATTAATGTCGGTCTTTTCGCCAATGTAAGCCATATTCTTGATTGCAGTGGCAACATCATTATCAGAAGAGAAAAACTTTCCATTGAAAGTGTGACTTCTTGATCCATAAGCGCCTTTAGCTGCAGCACCGTAACTGATCAAGGCATAGCGAGCGTCGTAACCAAAACGGCGCAATTTCTTGTTTGTGTTGTACAACATCGAAGCAATCGTTTTCTTATTATTAATGGCACTCTTGCGAGCAGACATCAACACTACAACGTCAATAGCTTTCTTTGGTTGCACAGTGAAAGTTTTGCCCATGGTCTTGGAGCCTGCCACAAACAAAGCAGTAAACATTAAAGAAACGAGTCATCTCAAGTCATACACCCAGATTATAGCCTGGATCATTCATTAACAAATCAGTTTAAAACTCGCTGACAAAATCCCATAGAAAAATTACGTTCGTTAAGGACAGCCGTTATTTTTGCCTTGTATCCAGGTACCAAAGACCTATAAAATATTAAAATGTCCACCTGCGGCTAGATTATACCAAAGCATGATGTCCAATACTTAATCCAGCAATGGCGTTGAAAATGTCTTTACACTTACCACATTCCTTGGTATTTATTGGGTAAATTCCACGCATCTTCAGAGCAGTTCTGTATGCAGCGACAGAATCACAGAAAGAAATGCTGTCTTCGCAATCGGCAGTGTCAATTTGGCAGGTCTTGAGGAAAGACAGAGGATCAACAGCGCTGAAATATCTTGCAAATGGTGATGATTTCGACTTGAAGAGCTCGATGCATTTCTCTGATGGTGTTTTATTGCACATAGGTGGCTCGTTATTTGCTTCTTTCACGTAACAGTCACTTGACCTTGTAACTAACCACGAGTTAGCCAGTTGCTCCAAAGAGTTGGTAATCTTCTGGTTTACAAGTTTTAGATCATCGTAGATTTCTCTGTTGTTTGTACCAAGAAGGCCTGATGGAAAAACCAAATAGGTCAATGAAAACGCCTCATAATTTCAGAGCGACGTATTTTTCACAACACAATTGACTTCCTCAGTTAGAAGAAATAAAATAGATAATGCAAATTACCTTGGGATTTTCCGTAATGCCATCCAGAAAGTTCTATTGAGCAGAGGAAGTGCTTTACATTGCATTTTAGTGTAACTCCGTGCTTGAACTCGCACTTGATGTAGTGTCTGTATCTTTTGCATGTGACGCCGTCAGTTTCAATTGGGATTCCCCTCACTCTTTCACTGCGAGTAATACCAGCTTTAGTAAACTTGATAGCTCCCTCAACTACACCAGATTTGTCGATGGAGATCTTGGCGTCTGGCGTCTCAGCGATGATCTTCTCTGCTTGCGCAAGAATGGTGAAGTTGCCGTTTACAACATCGCGTGCCAAGAGGTAGGTGCAGGTGCTTTTTGGGTGTTTTGGAAATTCGTAGTACTTTCCATCAAATGTCATTACGTGTCTCTTACCATAGATCATTGCGTATGCTACGATTTAATACAAAATATTAGGCTAAAACAAAAAAACTACAGAATAACGTTAAAAAGGAACTTTAAAACAATCTTTCTTTCAATGAACGTGGAATAAAATGATAATTTTATCAATTTAAAGCAAACTTACTTCTGAATGGATCAACACGTTTTTTCAATGGGTTGAAAATCTGGTATAAGAATCGCATCTTTGACTTCCTAATAGTGCGATCCAACATTATCTTGTTCCATTTGTAGAATCTGAAGAGCCGTTTGGCGTATTTTCCTAAAATGCCAGTGTGTACATCTGTGTAATCCTGCACAACCTTCATATCATCTTTGGTCAGGAAAATCTTTACCATTTCTCTTGTAATCTCAAGGAATCGGTCAATGTTCTTTTTGAAAGCATCTCTCAGGTTATCTTCTAGCATACTGTACGTTGCAGAAACTCCTGCTCCTCTCAGAGTGATGTAATAAGGCCTCAATTTTCCCCAAGCCTCCTCGAAACCTTTTTTTGCAAGTCGCCTGATGAAACGAGCAAATCTCTCCGTTTGTTCAAAATAAGGTTTGATTTCTTTGATAGCTTTCTCAAAGTATGAAATGGACTTTTCGTAAGCCTCTGGAATGCTTTCAGAGTCGAGAACTGCCAAGACGGCTGACGAAGTGAAGCGGTATGTCTTTTTGGTATTTTCCTTAATGTCTTTTGCTGCTTCTTCGAAAATGGTTTTCCAGATTTTGATGCTTAATCTCGTGATCGATTTAAATGAACCCTTCTTTTTCAAGACCGAATTCTGCACAATTGACCCAATACGTTTTCCCAACCTGGTATGGGCCAAGAAGCTCTGGTTTAGATCGCTACGAAGTTCCATGGTCCTGGCCTTGAGTTCAGCGAGCAAGGTCTTAGAGATGGCCATTGTCCTGGCTTTAACCTTATCAGTGTATGTCATAATGGTTTGCTTGGCGTTATTGGCATGGTGCTTGAAACTTGGAGTGATCTCTGGGTGAATGAAGCTCAGACTTACACCACTTTCGCCAACTTTAACAGTGACATATTTCTTGATGTCAGGGACATAATTTCTCATCTTTTCCAGGGTACTTCTCAATTTATCCATGCTCAAGTCCAGCTTATCAGCGTAAACCAATGAACTGTGCACTGCCTTCAGGGATGTTTTAGTAGCTTTGATCAAGTACTTCTTGGCCATGACTGGAACTTTTGGTACTGAGCTCAGTATCATCTTGTAGCTTCTCAAAGCAGCCCCTTGAAGGTCGTAGTATCTAACAATGAATACAATGGTTTCGTTGACTTCATTTGCAATGAATTTAGCAGCACTCACTGTTTTCTGTACATATGGTTGTGCATAAATGTGATACTTGTTAACGACCATTTCTGCAATGTCCTTGTACATTTTTTTGGCATCACCTGGTATTTTCATCAGCTCTGCAACCGTCTCACCAACCGTCATCTTCATTGTCTTTTTCATTGTGGCTCTCAAGGTTGATTCCATCCACATCTTTGTTGCTTTTGAGGCAGCCATGTTCTTAGCTTCGACCATTTTCTCCATTCCCTTTCTGAAAGCTTCTTCAAACATTTTCATGTATTCAGCGTATCGAAGTTTGACTTGTTGCAAGACTTTTGGGTATTCCTTCTCAATATAGCTTTGTGCGAATGCCAACTGTTTTTTGGTAAAGGCAATGTATCTTTCTTTGCGTTCATTCAGTGCTGCTATTGCCTTACCGTAGTATTCAATTGCCTTGTCCAGAAATTCAGTCATTACTTTTTTCTTAATGTCTTTGGCCTTCTCAACAATATCTGCAAGGGTTGTCTCATCAATCAAATCGTTGAATTTCTGCACCATTTCATTATATTTGGCAACAATCTTTGCTCTTGACAATTTCGTAAGGTCCATCACGTATTTGACAGCATTCTTGTAAAGCAGGGAAGCTTCAAGTGCTCCATACTTAGCAAGGTTTTTCATTTCGACGACAATCTCGTGGCTCATGATTTCCTCCGCAATTTCAGTCCAGATTTCGTTTGCGAAAATTGGGTACAATGGTGACATTTTCCATTGAGCAACAATCTTGTTGTACTGCTCCTTTAGCATCTTCATTTGCTTTGCGCAGAACTGTGTGCATTTGTCCTTCAAATCACGTGGAAGGGTCTTGATCATCCTCACAAGCTCTTCGTACAGTTTCGTGCCCTTAGTTTTAAGTGTCAGGTAAAGCTGTTTAGCATTGTCATCAGTCACATCATGTGCAATTTCCTTTGCTGCACTCACAACGATGGCTTTTAACTCTTTTAGATCGTACGACATTACTTTGTAGATCATGTTTTTCAGCATTTCAATGTCTTTCCAGAAGCAGGCTACAGGATCCGCTCTGAAGCAGGTAACTTTTTGTGTAGCTAACTCTGGGATGTCTTTAGTTAGAGCAACAGCTCTTGCAATGTAGGGTCTCATCTTGTCTTGCAGCTTTCTTGCAGTGTAGACAAAGCTTTCTTTACCAGTGCTCAGAGCAGACATGATTTGCTTCACAGTTTCATGGTCCTTAAGATCCATAATCTGCTTTCTTAGCTCAGCCACTTTAGGATGGGTCTTCAAATCCTCAATTCTAGATTTCAATTCCTCAATCTTTTTCGCTACAAATTCCGACAACTGCCTTAGGATTTCTTTAGACTTAGTGAACATCTCAGTTTTGACCAGTTCTTGATATTTCGGGTTTTCTTCAATCTGTTTCATCATTTTCCTTGCATTCATGAGCATTTTCTTGTACTGAATTTCCAGCTCTAAATAACCTTTTTCGTACATTTCCATTGCCGTTTCCTTGACATATTTGTAGAATCTCTTGGCAAGAACTATCGACCTTTCATAGTAGCTTTCCAACTTGGTGTTAAGTTTCTTCAAGTAGTTTTTCAGCGCAATGAATTGTGGGTTGAATGCTTTTATTGTTTCCTCCGCAATCATAACAGAAGCCCGCAAGCTTTGATCTATGATGCTGACAGCCTCCTCTTTCAAAACAGGCAACACTTCTTTTTCAAATGATACTTTCATCTTCATCACAAATGATTTGACTTTGGTGTAGTTCTCTTTTGCGACCTTTTTGATCACATTCTTGTACTTTTGAGCCATTTCTTTGAACATACCTTCAACTTTCTTGGCCAGCTGCCTAATGCTGAGGTACTTGTTGTTTTCGTAAAGTTTGATAACTCTAGCATACATCTCATTGTAAGCATCAATTGACATCTTTTTCATCGCATTATACATTTCTCTGGTGTAGACAGTTACCTTGTTGTAGAGCTGTACTGCCTTTGGCTTGAATTCTTCATTGAACCACTTCATACCCTTGACTTTGACGAATGTCTCGATTTTGTTTTTGATTTCCTGAGCCTTTCTTAATACTTTGAGTGTCAGCTCACTTGTTTTTTCATATTGTCGCTCGGCCATTCCATACATGTCAGTGTAAGCCTGTTTGGTGCCACCATAAATCTCCATACTGATCTCTTCCCAGGTCTTGTCTTCATACTTCTTGTAAAAATCAGTCATTTCATCATAAAGCTTTTTGTATTGAGTTGCCAGTGCTCGTTTCACTTTCTCGTAGTTTTCTTTGGCTGCACCGTAGACAATACCCTTGTATATTTCATAGACAACTGCACAATCATCTTTCACCTCATCGTAGACGAGTTCAGCCCGCTGTTTGACAAGGGCATACACAAGCTTCAAGGATGCAATGTAGTCTTTGTTCATTCTCTTTGAAAACTCTACCAGCCTTTGTGATACTTTCTTATAGAAAGCAGCAACCTTCTCATAGCTCTCTGAAACAGCCATCGATACAGTCTTCTGGGCTTTTGAAACAGCAGCTTCAACTTCCAAGTACCACGTGTCAAAGTCTTTCTTTGGAATAGATTTAACATATTTGACAATAACTTCCAGTTCTTTCATGCCATCGGCTAACTTTTTGTAGAAAGCTTCAACAGTTTCTCTGGTCTTCTTGAACGCCTTGACAACCGACTCTGCAAAGTTGATTTTCTTGGCACGCTCGATGACATCATTAAAGGCTTTGTTGACTCCATATCTACCAAGATGATTCAGAAGATCCATATCAGCCCAGGCTTGTCGCAGTGGTGTTGCAATGTCAATCTTGGAGATTTGCTTCAAAGCCTGAGCCAGTTCCTTTACCAACACCAACGAGTACTTCTCTGTATATTTCAAGCACTGGATAACCATTTCCTCAACGGGTCTGGACATGGCAATGCTGGTCAGGTCAGAGATGACTTTCCACATCTTCATGCTTCTATCCTTCAACGTGGCAATGATCTTCTTTCGTTCGGCCACAATTTCTTTGAGAGAGTTGACAGTGGATTTTATTGCAGCTGTAGACATGTCTATGGTCGCTTCGGCCATTTCTTCAAGTGTCATTGAGGTCAACTTCTTTGCAGCTTCAGTATAATGACCAACAGCAATGGCAGTCTTTGCATACATGGAGATGAATCTTAACTCGATGAACTTACTCAGCTTTTTCATGTAAAAGTCAAAAACCACGCCAATCTCCTTTTCCAAAAGACGAATGGCCCTGATTTGCTGCTTGATATCGTCAAACAGAGGTTGGATAGGCTTTACTAATGGCATTGCAAATTCTTTCACGACCATCCAGACTTTAGTAGCAATTGCCTTGAGTGGTAGATACAGCTTGTTGAATTCTGCTTTCAACATCATCCCGACCTTCTTGACAGCCTTCTCTACCAAAGGACCAAAATGTTTCTGTGTAGAACGTGCTATTTTTTCAATGCAGTTGACCATTGGCTGAAAGTATGTCTTTAGCTTTTTCACCACTTTGGTTAGCTTTGTTGCTTGCTTTCTTCCATACTTGATCATTTTAATACTTGCTGTTTTCAGCTCCTCTGGAAGATTATTCACCGTTTGCTTGATCTCTTCCAAATAGTCCTTGATCTGACGGTTCATTACTTCGTATTCCATAATCATCCTGGTTATTTCTCGTGCCTTCTGCTCAAAATCAATGTCCCTGATCATTTTCACATATTCTACAATGATGTTGTAAACTTTGGCATCAGTGAAAGGGAACTTCACGCTGCGCACATACTTTGTCATATCAGCAATGATTACATCCATCTTTTTCGACATATTCTCCTTGTATGACTGGATAATTCTTTTTGTCGTCATTGTAAGTTCTTCTGCGATCTGCTCAGCTGTTTTTCCTTGGATTTTGAATTCCTTAGCAAGCTTCCATGCCAACCTTGCGACAGGACGTCCAGCTTCAATAACTTCTTTAAGAGATTCGTATGTTGCTTTTGTCATCTTCATTCCTTCTGCCATTGCAAATCGTGACACCTCAAGTGCTTTTAATGAAACTTTCTCCATCCTCTTCATCATCATTGGAAGATTGTTATGGATTTCCATTAAGCCATCGCTTGAAAGCTCCAATGCCTTTTGGACCAAGCTAGCACTCTTTTCCAAACCTTTCACAATGACCTCACCCATTTTGTCCCGGGCTGCGACAAAGTCGAATTCATCGAACTTCTTTTCGGCGACACGAATCATTTTTACAGCCTCTTTGCCAATGTTCTCGATGGTTACCATGCTGAAGGTCTGTCCCAAATCCTTGGCTTTTGACATAATTTCAGTAACTTGCTTCATGGCTTGTCTTGCAACTGGCAAGATCATATCCTTCATCTTTTGAGCTGATTCTTTGTTCCAGTCCAATGCAAATTTGCTGACAGTTGGAGAAAGCTCGTATTTCATGGTAATTTCATTCACCAGCATTCCTTCTGCTTCTCGTTGAACATTCAAGGAGATGATACGGTCATCAATAATCTGCATTAATACATTTGCAGAGAGCTTTGGAGCCAAGTTCAGTTTGAATACCAAAGCATACAGATCCTTGTTGTAGGAAACACTCCATCCAACTCTGCTCTTTCGGTTGAAGATGTGGAATCCAGCAGCATAGTTGAAAGGGTCAAATCTGGCATCTAATCCCAATCTTTGTCCAAACAAATCAGTGCCAACTGTTACCTGTTTTAAGTCAGGGTTCCACTTTCCGCGGAACACCATTCTCATGTTCTTCCTTAAGAAATCGAAGCTAAGCAAGGCAGTCTGTGTTTCCGTGTTGTATCGGCCAACAGTCTCCATTCGCAACTTTCCAAGGACAAATATGTTGGCTACCACTCTATCACCTTCAATTACTGCTTCAGTTTTGAGAATGGACCTCTGCATAACTACAAAGTCGATTGAGCCTTTTTTCTGCCTCAGGATGCCGGAAATCTTAAAGAGGCTGGTCTTTCCAATGTTCATCTCCAAAGACAGCGTGGGCTTGGTGAACTTCAAAACGGTTTTCATTAATTCCGTCATGACCAGTCTATTGTTGATATTTCTCTCCACACCCAGCATGACACTACCAATGCCAAGGGCCTTGTCGAATCTCACAAGCAGTTGGGCAGTTCTTCCAAGAATTGTGACATGTGTCTTCAGCGTCTTTTTCTGACTGTCATATTGGGACCCAACAGCAAAGTCTTGTTCGAATGCTGACAACTGAAAGTTGAGACCTTTCAAATCAGTCTGATCTACGTAGGCGGCGACAGCATCGAAAGTGCGCTCAAAGTTGCGCCAGCTTAATTTCATATCGGTTTTCAGCTGCCATCCATTGAACTTGTTTATTCTACCAGAAAGAGTAACGAACATCTTGGGCAAAAATTCAATTGAGACTGCAATCTTTTTCTCGCCCTTGTAGTAAGTGATCATGTGCTGCAATTGCCGCCCCGGTAGATAGTTAACATCAATTGAGAGCTGTGTTGATGCTTCAGTGTTGCTGAAAACTGTCGCCAAAGTTGAACGCTTGTTCTTCGCATACGTTGCACCAATGATCATAGCATATTCTGATTTGGTTTCTGTAGACAGGTTCTCATAGTTGACATCAAACCCATAAGTGAATTTTTTGTTCCACACAGTCAAATCCCAGGTCAGTTTGTATGCCTTTTCACTGTCACCCCAAAGCAGAACTTCCGTGGTTTTGCTACCAAGCAAAACAAATTGTTTGCGAGTGACTGCTAATTCAGTGACAAAGAGATGTTCGTTGAGTTTGTTCATGCCATATTCAAAGGCTGCTTTAGCTGAGTAATCATATGCGTCAAACATAGTCTTTATGCCATATATCGAATCGGATGTCTCGAACAACAATGTGTAGCTGACTGGCAATTTCTTGTTGACCCAACCTTCTACAACGATACCACGGACAGTAACATCATTTTTCATGAGGGTGGAATACTTGGCTTGCATCTTAAGCAACTGACCAAACCCTTTAGCTTCAACACCAAACAGTTTTAGCTGATCACTTTCAGGCGTCGAGAAGATCCTGGACATAACAGAATGCTTCAAAGTAGACATTGTCAGTTTCAACTCATTGTCAAACAAGCTTTTGTAGGTCATCTCCAATGCATTCTTCATGATTTCCTTCTCCTGAACAGTCAAAACGGAGCCCAATGTGAAACTATCAGCAGTTGTGTCCAAAACAAATGACATTGCTGCTGTCTTCTTCATCACTTCAATTGACCATGTGAGCTCTTTGTTCTTTAATGACAAGCATGTCTTAGCTGGTCTCTTTTCGTCAAAATAGGCGACAACACACGCTTCCTTCCTCAAGCTGCCTTCGTTGTTGTAGCTCGCTGTCAGCCCGACTGCTCGTTCCTGGAACTTCCCTCCCATGTTCATACCATGCCATCCTGATCGTAGGTTACTGTAGTCTGCAAAGATTTCTCCACTCTTGCCAAAAGCAGTGGCAATAAATTTGACTTCGTGTCCTTTGCTCGTGCGGAAATATCCCCAAACAAGCTCTACTGGCTTAGATGAAGATGTTTTCACGTTGAAAACCAACTTCTTCTCAGCATCTGTATTAACGATGCCAGTGTAGAAGGAGACTCTTCTGACATTGTTGTATGCAAAAGCGAAATCAAAGCCTTTTTCTGTTTCTGTTGAGATGTACTGTCCATCAAACTCTGCTCGCTGATTGAACTGATTTGAATCGAACCTCATGCTGATCTTTCCGGTTACCGGCGAGTATTCAAATTCTCCAGTCAAGTGTCGTTTAGGCCAGTATGTTGTTCGAGTGTGGAAAAGGTAAGACTTTGTCGGGGACTGTTTTCTGACAAACTTAGTAACGTGTTGCAATGTGTACCAATCATATGATGCAGACATCAAAACACCCATTTCTTTAGCCAAGTAAGAAGAGCTGTTGAAGTACAGGAACCTAGCACTGATCGGTTTCGGAGTGAAGACATTTGTATCAAAGTTGACTTCAAATCGGTTCGTGTTGTTTTGGTAAGTGATCTTTAATTGTGCGTTGCGAGCAGCCTCAGTGCTTCCAATAGTGAGCTCTCTGATGTTGCTTGTTTCCTTGTACTTGATGCTTCCAGACATGCCACGGCTGTATGTTGCACCTGGCGTCCCTACTTGGAAAGTACCAATAAGTTCACTTCCTGACGTTATTTGTTTCTTGGTTAGAGATACGAGGAACTGGTATGTCGTCAGCTTGGGGTCAGCCTTCACAAGTGTCAAGCCAAAGGATGCTGGGCCAGAAAGAGGGTAGTAAGGGGCTTCATAATCACGGAATGCAACTGGCACAGACACTCTTGTGCAAAGGCCTAGGCCGAGAACCATTGTTGAATTCATGCAGAAATCTGGACTGATGCGTCGTTCTGCTCCCTCGATCAGCTTGATGTCCTCGTTAACATATGTGAAAGGAGTAGTGCTAAAATAAGAAAATGGTTTTGAATTCATATGACTAATCGCATTGGAGATGCCTCTTGGAATTTAAAGAAAAAATCAGAAGGAAAGTAGAATTCACAGATCCAAAAGCTATGAGACTTAAATATCAGGACTCGGGGGGACTTTTTAACTATTTCATTTCAGCGGACATCAAAGATATTACAATGAGTTTTACTACAATTATGAGAATTGCATAAAATTAATATCGTAAACGAAAAAGGCAGGAAATTTCTTGCGACCGAGTCGTTGTTACATGACGACTTAGGTAATTATGAATAATAATTCTTTCTTAAGTACTTCGTGCACTTACGAGATGTTGAAGAATTCAATTGGTTTTTCTGGAGCATCAACATTGATTTTGAGCTGTTGACCTTCTCTGTACAAAACGGAGCCTTTTACAACTTGTGACGTGTACATTGAAGAGTTGACAAAGATACCAGTATCAATGTAGTGACTGTTGACGCCCATCTGGCCAGATACTTCAACGACAGTGCTAAAAAACAAAGAATCATTTGTTACCAGGGATATTTTAAGGCTTTCATAAGCCCAGTGTTAAGTCGGTAGGTATTAAAAAATTCCAGCTTTAAAGTTAAATAATAATAGGGACAGAAGATCGCTATGATCAATTTTTGTGACCCATTAGGAATAAGAAGCGAAAGAGTTCTCATTTGAAAGAGCTTTAATATGAACCTGCAAGAATGCTTGAGGCTCTTGTAAAACAATACCTTGGTTTAAGCGATCCTTTGACTTCTAGAGCCATAGGTCCCCAGAACATGTTCCTGATGTCAAACTTTCCATCAATCTCAAGAGACCCAACAGCAGATCCAGTAAGTTTTAGTTTCAATGGCAAACCAAGTCCAGTTGGCACGGTATGTGTCATCTCAAGGAACATGATGCTTTTTGTGAACGTTTTGTGTCCACCCTTGGCGACCTTCAACAACAGCTCTATCACGTTCATGTTATCGATCTCACCTGCTGCCCATTGTAGATCATCGTAGCTAAAGACTCGCATTTCATGACCAAGAACTTTCATTGTTAAGAAGCCATTAGGCTGTCTCTTTCTCTTTACCTTGATGGGGAAGAGTATCATGCAATTACAGGTAATAATTCTATTTTCTGGATGTAATAATCTAATGAGAGAAGAAATTAATGGTTTCTTATTGCTATTATGAAATGCCACTGGCAAAAAGAAAAATCGTGACTATGTTACATAGAAAGAGAACAAGCTGTAAAATTTGGCATTAAATGTGAAGATAACCATGTCAGTGAATGCAATATGTTTATGATCATTTATGACATCCGTAAAGAATAACACAGATCATGAACTGGTGCCATATAAAGTTTTTTTTTTCTTTCTAATTCCCACGGGAGGGAGCATGTCTCGAATTATTTGTTTATTAGTTTATAAGTTTATCAATTGTTCATTTAAAAATACACACCTTTTGGTGAATGTCGTTGACGGTACTCTCATAGCCTTGATCAACACTGCGCCTTGACCTTAGTTTCTCCAAATCTTCCTTTTGGATGTTGACGTTGAAAAATTTCATAATGGTGTCATCAGGGAAGTAGCCGTATGGTCCAAAAAAGTCCTCAGCAATTGATTCGACTCCCTCAATTCGTGCAGCCATTTCAAATACCTCAACGGGAACATCAAGGATATTGGCAGACATACTGACAAGCGAGCTTCTTGGGACAAAACTCTCAGGGTTGTAAATAAGATGACCGTTGACAGTAGCTCCTGACTTCAAATATTCGGAATAAATTGAGCCTTCGAAAGCTTTGGAGAATTTGGTGAATGAAAGATCAAAGTTCTTGAGTTCTTTTCCTTCGAGGATCTTGGACAAAAGTTCCTTGGTCCTAAAAATTTATTGATTTGTCAAATAAAATGTGAAAAAAACTAGCAAAGACATTTTCTACATGAACCAAAGATGAATCAAATAACCCTTGTACTTGAACTTGCCTTTTTTACTTAAAGCAAGATGTAAAGCTTCAATTTAATAAAGAGTGCCAAAAGGTATTGGTCAAAAGCATCATATATCAAAAGCCATAAACAGCATTGCTTAACAGAGGCATTGAGTTCAAGGTAATTATACTGTAATTTGATAAATGTCACCGTGGATTTTGAAAAACATATTTGATTTGGAGTACCTGGCATTTTTGGGGTCTGACGATTCCTGGATATTCTTTATGTGAGACCATACAAATGAGCCAACTTGTTTGCTTATCTCAATCTGCAGCTTGTTGACCACTCTGACAAGCGTACTTTCAGATGGGCAGTTCATAGCAGTAATGTATGCTTGGATCCTCTTTTCTACGTCCACATTGATGTCTTCGTACATCTCTAATACCATTGCCTGAGCCTTCTCGTTGCATGGCATGCGTCTAAGTGCATCAAGAGCTGCAGTAGTGACATTCATGTGCTCAGCTGTCATTGCGCATTTAACAAGGGTCTCAATAGCCTTAACTGGCTGGCCAGCATTTCCGATCGCCTTGATAGCCATAAGGATCTCTTCAACACGTTCATGATTTTCTTGGCCTTCACAGCTGTTGCCTAGTTTTGCTTCCAAGAAAAGTTCAGCAAATGTGACTGGGTTGGACTTGCTGTAAGCGCAGCTTGCAGAATCGAGTTTGCAGTAACGGTTCATGAGGATTCCCAGCGAAAGGAAAGCCTGGCGACTTGGGACAGTCTTTGCAATGTTAAGAAGATCACGAATCATCTGCTTTGTTGGCTTAGCAACCAAGGAGACACCTTGCAAGAACATATTTCTGCATTCACCAGATACATCTCCACTGATGATGACATCATGTACAGTTGAGACACATGTCGGGGTACCACAGTATGTCAAGGCATCAAGGAAGAATTGCCTGCAAAGAAAAAAGGTTTTTAAAGAATTCGCAGTGAAAATATTGCCTTATATATAAAACTGAATATTGCTTGATACGAGTTGAGAGAAATATCTTTATATCATCATCATTAAGAGATAATCATTTTTCTTTGCTTTGGATTCTCACCTGTAAGCACTCTTCAGATTAGCATCACTTGCATCGAAGTTAAAGTACTTGTCCATGACAGGTCTCATTCTCTTAGTGTCAAGCTTCCTTACAAGATTAACCAACTCTACAAATTCGTGTGCAGAACTTTGCTTGGCAGAGAGGCTTCCCATTTTGACAAGAGAATCCATGACTGAATCGATTCGGCTCACAATATAGTTGTCTGGTTTCATGGACTCCTGCTCATGACCATAGATCAATGTGACGGGATTTGATTGAGATTCTGAAGGAAAATACAATAAAAAAGCTAAGCATTATGGGATTAATTTCATTTAAGGTACAGTCCTTGCAAAAATTATTGCAATAGCTACACAATATTTCAATGTTCCAAGAATTCGATGATTGCCGTTGGAGATCTTGGTTACACCAGCTTGTATTCACGTATTTACACTAGCAATCAACATAATATTGCATCGTAAATTTAGTTTTCGTGTATAGTAAGCTCCTGTTCCATTTGGCTTTTAACAGATAAATTTTTGAATTCTTGGGAAGGAGATGGGAAGGAAACTATATTGAGGAGCATTATAAAAATAGCAATGTTGAATGTCTTCACAGAACTGAATTAACCATCATCTTCACAGATGGCCAACTTAAGCGAGACTGACAGAACAGGAAGCATCAGACAGCTCTGCATTGTTGGCTTAATCAGCATAACTCAAAATCAAAGAATAAAACGAGCCTGATAAAAGATCATGGACTACCAAAACTCACTTGTTTCAACAGCAAATCCTGCTCTTCCTTTTGTGCCTTCGAGTTTCAGTTTTTGTGTCACTTTCGTGATTGCTCCAGCAGGTTTTTTGTATCCGGCTGAGAACGGTCTGAAGAGGTGGCTTTCCTCGCACTCAACAGCAATGATCTTGTCCATTTCTGTGATGTATTCGCATACACTCTTTGAGTTGAGCGGTTTGATGGGCTGGTGATAATGGAAAACAAGAGTTACAAACAGGTAGAACTATATCTATTCATAACATTAAAAACTGACAGATAAATTATTATCTATGCTAACAGAGACATTTTAAAAGTAATATTTGGTATCAATTATATATTGCTTCGGAAAATTTGCTTTCGAAAGTGTGATTGACCAGTACGATGCAATTATTTTATAATGGTAAAAGATATATGCAATAAATAGTGCAGTTTAAAGATTATTTTGATGCAAATTATAATTGAGTTAATCTACGACATTAAGCTATAACACTGACCATCTTGCTGTGCGCAAAGGTAGCAGTTTGCAGTCCAAGCTCATTGAGTGCACGGTCACTGCATTCTGAGAGGTCCTTTGACTTAACAGTAACACCATTACTCTCAGTGATTTTGACTTTGCACTTTCCGTGGACATCTACTTCCTCTTCAGCATCCTTCTGCAGCTGCAAAGTACTAAGAATACCTCTCTTGATGTTCAAGATATGGAGTGACTCCCCAGCAGCGGGGAACAATTTGTTGATTCTTCCTCTTGATGTCTGGAAGACGAGGTCTTGAGCTTGAAGCTCTTTGGAGAATTTTCTAGACTCTGGAGCAGTCTGAAAATCGTTGTTCTTGCTCTTCACAAGGAGCTCAGGGTTGTTCATCTGAAGCCAGAAAAAAGTGACAAATTAGCAAATAAATCGAAGTAAATCCTCCTATCAATAGAGGACGGTGATAATAAAAAATCATCATCATCATCATTATTGAAAATTATCTGGAAAATATAACCTAAAAGGTAGGAGAAGTGTTACGAGAATACCCTCAAGGTATAACTAAAAATGATGAGGCAAAAGTTTTAGTTGTCCCTTTGATGTTTGGTGTGCTCGGAAGTATACCGTAAATCCTCGAATTGCCCCCCCCCTCGACAAAGCCCCCTATCGAAAAAGCCCCCCCCCCTCGAATAAGCCCCCGCCCTAGAACTACAAATTGTCAATAAGGCCCCCCTCGATTAAGCCCCCACTGCTACCGTAAATTCTCGAATTGGACCCCTCCATTTGATGATTGTTGCCATCTAAGGTTGCCTATATGGCGTTTTATTGAATTACCACAAGAAATTCATACTTTTGGTAGTAATTAATTGAATGCTCATAAAGAAATTTCTACTAAAATAAACGAGGTCTTTTAATAATGTCTTCTTAATGTCAATAATAATTCTATAAGCCCCCCCCCTCGTATAAGCCCCCCTCCTCGAATAGGCCCCCATCCAAAAATATCAAAAATAATTAAGCCCCCAGAGGGCTAATTCGAAGATTTACGGAAGAATGGCTAGGAGAACTGAAATAAAAATTGTTTGTAATCTTAGTCATTATCATTATAATGTTTAGAAAATAAATGGAAATCAAAATATGATGTCATGAGAGACTTCACTTGGAGCTCAATAGAGCTCTCAAGTGTGACGTTACAAAAAAATAGTTCTAGAATTTTCGAATTTTGATTACATAACATAAATGAACACCATGAAATACTCCCATATAGGCCAAATCAGTTAAATTTGTCAAAAATCGCGGGACCTATGGCCAATAGAAGATTTGAAGTTTGCTAACGGATTACTGTTATTTTGGCTCAGTTCATAAAATTATGAACTGAGACCAAATTACAGAGGTTTGATGGGGCCAAATTACAGAGGTTTAGTTAAAAATAGAGTTTTGTGACGTCAACACTTGACAACTTTGTTGGTTAGTTACATACCTGCATGCGGTATTTGCATGCTCCAAGAGGATGAATGTAGATCACTGCCTTTAACTTGAGACCTGTACTGTCCGAAGTTGAGCCTTGTACAGTATTAATTGTCTCACCAGCATAACTGAAGATGCTTGTAGCATCGTCTCTCAGTCGAGGGTCTATAAAGACAATATCTAATCACAACACAAGGCACAACAAATTTATATAAGAAAATAGTTTTAAACTTAAGGGCCGTTCACCTTCATAGATACCCAACCAGAGGAGCATCTTTTCATGGTTATCCTGTAGAGTTTATGATTCGGGTGTGGCTTGGAGAAAAATGGGCTTCTGATGGCGTAATAGTACAAATGTGTACTTAATAGAAAAAAGTTTGAAGGTCATTAGAAGGGTAAGAACTGTCACCCCTACTGTACTCTGCATGCTCCAACAATTCATTTCTGCTATGTTTTAGAGACATAATCCAAAGAAATAAAAACGTATGAGCACTTCTTGTAATTAAAACTTATGAAGGGAAAAAGCAGTTTTGAACACGGCTTATTTTGGAGTGGGGTGTGGTTTCAAACAAACTTAAAGAAGCAAAGGCCTTGAAAGCAAAGTTTTAATCGTCCTTGAATCAATTTTAAAGTTTCAAAAATCTGTCACTTTGTAGAAATGTTTGGCATTTAGACAATTCTATATTTTAGATAAGTGGGATCAAGACATAATCATTTGGGTGTGGTTTGGATTAGAGAAATATTGTTGGCCTTTATTGGTGTCGGGTTTGTAAACCTATGTGAAAGCAAACCTCTTTACATTTAGAGGTTAAAGGGGAATCTAGCCACTCTACCGCTTGCTATGGTGCGAAGAAATAGCTTCAGGTTTGGAGCAAACGATTTTAACAAAAGTGATGAACACATCTTTATAAGAAGCATGTTTTGCAGAATTGATGTGGTCGGACAAAACAGATCGGTCATTTTTTTGTACACAAATCGCAAACTGTTAGAGAGTTACGAAGCACTTTTAAAAATATATTTTGATCAAAAGCTCCCCAGAATCACACCGGGATTCCCAAGCAAAATTAATTCACTTTATTTTGGAACGTTAAGCAAAATTTGCTTAAATAATCAAAAGCGGGAATCATTAAAGCTGTTTTAACACAGATAATCACAAAGAGAATTGTTTTTCTAATCGAATGATCAAGCTCTCGAGTTACCAGCCATCTACTGTAATTTTCAAGGTACACTCCCTCTATTATAAGCTTCGTTGTTGATGGATAAGAAAGCCACACCCATGGTAGTATTTAGCCAAACTTAGAATATGTGCAGTAAATATAAAAGTCAATGGGTAATTGCTGGTTGTAGAGAGCAGAGACAGTATGATTCTAAAATATAAACTACAGGTATGTGTGTCTAGCTGACAGGTAACTCGATAGGCAAGTCAAGCTCCAAGCGCATGTGGTCGCTTTTTCTTTTGCTGGTGGCTTGAAAGGCACATGCCAACAGTAAACTAAAGACAGGATGCACAGTGGAGGAATCCTCTCTTTCAGTACAAAGAGTATGGCATCGTGGACAATTGCCTCGTTTAAATCTTGTCATCATGAAAATATCAAAGTTTTGAAACACTTCTCTGCGTCAAACCAAATTCAGGGTAACGATAGAAAAATGCCACTCTTTTCCGTAATTGAGACTAGAAAACCTTTGGAAAAGTATAAAAAGAGCTAGATATCCCATACAGAATTCAAGTCATCGAATCAAAACAATGTTCGATATTTTTCAAGCTTGGAAGCATAAAAAACATGTTTACATGTGCCAAAGACAATGAAGTTCAGATTAATATTCATTGCTTCCTAAATAAGAAGCCACTCTTTAGCAAATCCCCTTTCCCGCCAAAAACACAAACCCCCTCTTCCCTCCAAAAAAGCAAATCTTGTTTACAGGAGCTTTAATCAGAATGTAGAATGAATAACAAGGGCTTAGTGGTAACAAAAACATTCTGTTTCTTGAAATCATGGGACCTCGCAGCCGGTCACGAGATGTTTTCGAACTTTTGGGTGTGAATATCGTTTTTCAAGAATACAAAGGAGTTCTATTCTTAAATTTGAAATAGGAAAATAGTAATTTGCATACAGAAGTTGACCACAAAAACAATTATTCAGTACCGCAACCCGTGACTCTAGAAATCAGCTGACTTTATTGTCTCGAGATAATATTTGCTGAGGGGATTCCCTTAAGAGGATTCCGAAAATCGAGACCAGCTAAGCACACAAATTTTTTTTCATAGCGTTCTCGGTAAACCAACATTACAGAATTCCATCACTGTTCACTCCATCGCATTACAGAAATCAACCAGTTTTTATTCATGTCTGCCAAACTAAGGGCTTTGGACTTGCATAAACAAGCTAAATTTGTTTCGGCCCTCAAATAACGATGCTCAAAATTGGAAATTGAAAGTTTGAAAATATGCTGCAAAATGACAAGGCAATAAGCTATTGTTTAAATTTCAACAGAAGAAAACATCCAATACTAGCACGCTTTAAAATACAAAGCATTAGTTAATGAAGGTAAATTAGAGAACGTGTGAAGAGTAAACTGAATGAAATGCAATTCGAGAAAAAAAACTCACCAGAGCAATCATCTTCCAAGAAGTAGGCATTGAACGAAGTTGTATCGAAAAATGGAGCTGCATGAAAGAAGCAAAGAGTTGATTAGAAATGGGGACAGTTAAAAGTAAAACAGAGAGAGGGGCAAAATAATTGGCTTGTGTCATTATTGCTACAGGCTCTCGGGGCAAGAGCCTTTCCTCAGGTACAGGCATGCAAATCGCTATTAAAAATAATAGTTAACAACAATAATCATATAGATAACAATGATCGAGTGCCTCTATGATAAGGATAGAAAGCTAGACTCACCAGAAAGCGCCCCGGTGGCAAACAGCACCAAGAGTGGGAATTTCATTTTGACCGGAATCCGATCTCTTGCCCAGCTCTACTTTGAAAGTGGCAATACCTGGCTCACTTGCTGCTTTTATCCACTTCTCCAGTACCAAAGTCCGATATATGGACTCTTGACCATCAACGAATTATCCTAAGCTTCTGATTGGTCAATTATGAGGATACATTTAAGAGACCGAAGGTCATCTGTCAACGCGTTGAAAACTATACAGCAAAAATTGAATTGAATAGCCGCATTTGGTGGTCAGCGCGCTGGCAAGTTGAGGCTGGCGATGTTCAGTTATAGAATACCCAACAATAGTATCTGTTTTCAATTGCGTAATGTTTCACTGGTTATCCTGATGAAATGCAAAACGTCTATGGATGTGTCTCGTTACATAGATTTGAGACTGTAGCCTGCCTTAGAGAACGGAAAGCAGAGGATAAAAATTGAGTCTTGTAACTCTGGGTGGGCGGGAAAGTAACTGCTTTAAGCAAATGCGTCTCATTGGGAATTTTATGAATTTACAGTTTTGCCAGTCTTTCTTAACGTGCTCCATTCCGTATAACTGTACACGCTCTGGTGTTTTGAACAGGCCGGTTCTAAGTTGCAGCTCTGGCATGCATCTTCGAGTTGCAACTCCCTGCGGCTCACTCTGAATTTAGCTGACCTAACCGGTGCAGCAGTACTATGTGGGCCCCTTGGGGACTGACAGTAACCCGTTTAAAAGCCGCGCTGAAACGAATGACCTTATATAACTGCCTGAGCCCTGAGCATGCAAAACCATAAAATTCTGTAAAAGAACTTTTAAAGCTCCAAGGCCAAGCTTTCAAGTTTCAGAATTGAAACTTTCTGGTGAACGGAAAATTTGTTAGCACTTATGGTCACTCAATTTTTTCTATCATTCCAAATAAAGACAATAGTTAGAAATTTTATGAACGGAGTGCAAAGACTTTTAGCCGAACAAGTTTTTAGATGGTTGTACCATTCAGAAATAAAACAATAAAACAGTATGAACAGGAAATGATTTAAATTATATAATTAAAAGAAACACACAAACACAGGATTTGTCCAATAGAAAAGAATTACAAAAGAAATTAAAAACTCTCTAAAAAGTCAAAATGATTGAAAAATGAAAAAAATAAAAAACCAAACAGCATAATTACAAAATAATCAACAGTGATTATAAATCTTTGGGGTTTGTGCCTTACCTCATACTTCCTGATTCAAGCTTCACCTACATATTCAAGCTTGTTATGCCAACGCTTTGCTCTTGGGAAAAACGTAACCAAACTGCCTTGATCTTATTTAATCTTTTACAATTATACATCACAGGAAGTTATTTAAAATTTTTTAGATAACATAGAATCAAATTAGAAGATTGCTAAGCAAATCGATGATTTTCAGTCAATTGCTTGAGCAATCAACGTCTAAAAACTTTCACCCAAATAATCAGTTGCTTAGAACACTCTGGTAGAACTCAAATACAAAGATTTTGAATCAAGTAAAGTGGCTCGAGTACGTGAGAAATGAAGAGAAAAATATTTCATTATTATCTGACAGAAGTAATTCAAAATAAAACGATTGGGCTGATATTTTCTGAAACCCCCAGTGACAAACTGTGGTTTTGGGGGATTAGCTATCTGATCCGTCTGTCAATATTTTTCTGATAGAGGTACAAAAATCTAATTGAAAATGCTAGGACAATGCCGCAAAAGATAATGCAAATGAAATTTTGCCTGGCACATAATCTTTCAGGGTTTTTTTTTAATTCTTTTGACAAACCCAAATTTAAATACTTTAATCACTATAAATGTTGGTCAAACGATTGAAGCAAACGATTTTGGATTTTATTCGATACCAGATTCACCTTGGTAAATGTTGATGACATAGATAACAATGTTAAGGGCGCGAACGAAATATATTGGACAAAAAAACTTATTGACAACCTTTAGCAAAAGCCCTTTCTGGCGTTTTCTAAAGGAACACAGGCAACTGTTTGTAAAGATCTTTACGACGAGATAACTTTTTGAGTATCTTGAAACAAGATACTACACGATGGATTCAAATAGCTGAAGCTGCAGACGCAATAAAGCTACATTTGACAACTGCGTTTTTCTATGCCACAGTCAAGCTATGGCGCTCGTGGCGTTTGCAACGATAACAGTGAACTTCTATTTTCGCTGGTACAGTTGGCTAAAAGCATCAGTGGGAAAGACATTTTGCTTAGCGTTCCGTAAACGAGGTATAACACATTGACCTTGTGACAAGACGGAAACCACGCTGAGAATACATATGCCCCTTAATTTAACCATATTGACCTTAATCCATGTGAATCCAGAGTCACTTGGAACCGTGTTAAGTTGTTCATCTTGGGCTTAACATTTATAACTCATTGTTAACACATCCTTTCAAGAATTTAACAGTAAAGCCTTATTCACACTTGAACACAAATATCGAATCTGTTTCGCAATCAACTTTCTCTATGAAACAAATAAAATTTATTTCCAATAATGGTCTTACTTAGAAGTGAAAATTTATGCTTTTCAAAGGGAGGTGAAGTCTCTTTCATTTTGTTGACATAAATGAAGGATTGTGCTTTCACAGGGAGGTGATGTCTCTTTCGTTTCGTTGCCATAAAAGAAGGATTCGTTAGCGGCTTCGAAAAGGTTCAGAATACAAACATAATGATATCACAGACGTACAACAGCAGATATGATACTGACTTGTAGCATATGATAGATTTGGCCCTTTACAAAGTCATATCATCTGTACCTTAGACATGTCTTGTCGGTTGCACCAAAGATCGTTGGTTGCACACAATCCTTGCACGTCTCTTGTGGCAAAGCTGGCATGTAATAAAACGAGGTCATGGTTAAGCATGGAAGTTCAAGACTTTTCTAAGTCCCAGAAGTTCGTTAGTGATCAATACATTTGACTTTGACATCTTAGGGTGGTTAAAGGTAGCGGAACGAGTTTTAATTCTGGTAGATACTGATATGCTTGGCTTTTATGATGCTAAAAAGAAAAAAAGGTGATTTGGGATACGATTCTATGACTGTCCTCCAAGTCTACTGTGAAGTAGGAGAAGTACTGGATACCATAACAAACTCAGCAGCCTCGAAAAGAGATTGCTGAGGCAAGGAAATGTCAACTTATGCTTTGTGATAATGAACAAAAATCCTCTTTTGAGTGAGATCCTTTCCTGATTCAATTTTTCCTTTAGTTTCTCGAATGAACATAAGGTATTACCAAATGTCAATTGCAGTCGATTATAGGATTTGGCTAAATCAAAACGATTTGGGTGCTAAAAAAGTCAAATCCAGTTGTGGTCGATAAAAAGAGAAAGAAAATAGGTCCATTTATCAAATTGGCTTTAAGCACGTGATTTTCTCCTACACTGCAGACGAAAACGATGATAATAATACTTCAGTGACGTAAGCATGGGTCAATACAAATCATATGAGCTAGAGAGAATTTCATTGGGAACATAGAAAGAATTGACAGAGCATTTGCTGAGGATAATAAAGGCAGGTTGCTTAACTTCGAAAATATAGTTACCCGAAATTCTTTTACAGTTTTTATTTAGTTTACTGTCAAAGGTAACGTGACAATAGGACATTATTTCATGTGCAAAAAATTCCTCCTTACCTTACAACAATTCTTGGACTTAAAAACATTAGTCCCATTGTTCGATGCACGTTTCAACTCTGGACTAAAAAAAACAAAGATAGAGAAGCACTCAAAATTCGTTAAAAAGAATAGGCATGAATCATAGGTTGTTCAGATGTTATTTAAACCAGATCTGACAAGCAGGTTAGATATCCCTATAATGACGACCAGGCATATTTCTATTCCTAAGCATAAAGGATGGGGCTAAAAAAGGCACAGTTACGAAGTATACGAACCTAGATTTAAAGAGCTTTTATCACAGCGTTGGATGGGGCTAGAAAAGGCACAGTTACGAAGTATACGAACCTAGATTTAAAGAGCTTTTATCACAGCGTTGGATTCATGAAATTTGAAGTAAATTCTAGATTTGAAGTCTATAATGAGGGATGACATTGACGCTGTAGTCTCAAAAGTGACTCAAGAAGTAAGTTATAATATGCAACATGGGCACTTAGTCTTTCAATACGTCTTTTCGAATGGAATGAAACACTGAGGGGTTTTCTCTGAGTTTTGGATCAAAGGTGTATTGTTAACTGGTATACTTCACTGTGACTAAAAAACTTATGAATGAAACAGGCATCTTGCAGAGAATTCTGATATCTGACACGAAACTGGTTACTGACGGAATTCTGCATTTAGAGTAAGCTTAAAGAAAGATGAATTCTCCTTCTAAACTAACATGGATTATGGAAGTGTATATGGACGTTCTTTGTGCAGGCACCAATGGATGGTGTGTATAAAAATGCTTAGGAAATCAAGGATTTGAGTCTGACTGGTATCGTAGAGAGCTAGGTTCATTAGAGAATCAGCCGAGTGTCAAAATAACCAACATCGACCAAAGTAAGCTACGCCTTACTGGAAATAAGTCATGGTTACAAATTGCGCATGTTTAATACCAGACTGCTCTCCATGTGACTTTACACGTGAAACAACTCGCTGAATCCCCCTCACAAATAATGCCCAAACGTTTGACAATTTGAGTGGCTCAATACCAATTGCATCGCAAATTTACAACATGATTTTGAAAACAGCACGAAAAACATGTCTTCTATTGAGTTTTATAGCAGAAAAACAGTGCTGCATGTGGGCTGGTTGGAGCGGAGGCTCATTAACCCTTGTGGCTAGCAGTGCTCGAGCAGGAACCATTTGGCCAGCGCGTGTCAAACATGAAAACACAACGGGTGATTGTATTTTGCTTCGTGTTAAACGCAATCAGCGCTTTAATTATTTCTATAGACTCACTAGGTGCACATCTTCAAAGTATATGAATAAGGAGCTGGTAGGAAAACACTGCTGGAGAAAAACATCTCGTGCGCAAACACCATCTTTATTGAACAATGCTTTGTGCACACTGCAAGTTTTCTTTTCCATGCATGATAAAGAACGGTAACCTTGACTAGCAAAAATAGTCGATTTTCTTCTCAGACTAACCAATTAAAACAATGAGGT